TGCTTCTCCCTCTCCCCCTGCCCCTCCCCCTGCTCGTGTTCTCTCTCTCTTTCTCTTTCTCTCCCTCTCTCTCTTTCAAATAAATAAATAAAATCTTTTTAAAAAAATCTTGTAAGTTGGAGGATTTACACTTTTCAATATCAAAACTTACTACAAAGCCACCATAATTAAGACTATATAGTACAGGCCTAAGGATAGACATATAGATCAATGGAACAGAATTAAGAGTCCAGAATATATATATTCTCTGTGTGTATACACACACACACACACACACACACACACATATATATCCTTATATTTCTATTTACAGTCAACTGAGTTTTTTTTAAGATTTTATTTATCCATTCATGAGAGACAGAGAGAGAGAGAGAGAGGCAGAGGGAGAAGCAGGCTCCCAGGGAGCAGGGAGCCCAATGTGGGACTCGATTCCAGGACCCTGGGATCATGACCTGAGCTGAAGGCAGATGCTTAACCAACTGGGCCACCCAGGCGCCCTCAACTAACTGAGTTTTCAACAAAAGTACCAAGACAGTTTGATGGGGGAAAGAATAATCTTTTCAACAAATGCGGCTGGGACAATTGTATACCCACATTTGAAAAGAGGATCTTGGGTTGCCTGGGTGGCTCAGTCGGTTAAGCAGTTGCCTTCAGCTCAGGTCATGACCTCAGGGTTCTAGGGTCAACTGTCCCACTGGGCTCCACACTCAGCGGGGAGCCTGCTGCTCCCTCTGCCTACTTGTGCTCTATCTCTGTCAGATAAATAAATAAAATCTTAAAAAATAAAAAGAAAAGACAGATCTAGACTCTTACACCATACAAAAACATTAACTCAAAATAGATCACAACCCTGATGTAAAACTTAAAATTATAAAACTTTCAGAAGAAAATATGGGAGAAAATATTTGTGATGTTGGGTTGGGCAAAGATTTCTCAAATACAATGCCAAAAGCACAATCCATAAAAAAAAATGAATTGTACTACCTCAAAATAAAAAACTTATGTGTTTCAAAGACACCATTAAGAAAATGAAAAGCCACAGACTCAGAGAAAATCTGTGCAAATCATGTGTCTGATAAAGGACTTAAATCCGAAATATATGAAGAATTCTTATAATTCAATAAGAAGAGAAATAATTATAAGATGGACAAAAGATTTGAATAGACATTTCACCAAAAAATATGAATGGTTGATAAGCACACAAGAAGTGTGCAACATGATTAGTCATTAGGGAAATGTAAATTAAAACTAGAATGCACTTCACACACACTGAAATGACTATAATCAAAGACAAGAACAAGTGTGGGAGGGCGTATGGAGACTTGGAATCCTTCTAATTGCTAGTGGAAATGTAAAATGGTACAGCTACTTGGGAAAACAATTTGACAGTTTCTCCTGAAAATGAATATACCATGTGACTCAGAAATTGTCCTCCCAGGAATCGACTCAACAGAAAGGAAAACATGTCCACACACAGACTTGTAGGTAAATGTTCATAACAGCTTTATTTAGAATAGCCCCGAACTGGAAAGAACAAATGTCCATCAATGGGTGAAGTGGATAAACAAAATATGCTTTATTCATACAACTGAATACCAGGTAGCAATAAAAAAATAACAAAATACTGGTGCATGCTAAAATATGAACTACAAAAAAAAATACTAAATGAGAGAAGCCAGATGCAAACACCCACATATTATATGAATCTGTTTATAGGAAATGTTCAGGTAAGTGTCAGAGACAGCAGGTCAGCGGCTGCCTGGGGTTGGGTGTGGGGAGAGGCGGTGACTACAAATGGGCACAGGGATCTTTCTGGGGTGATGGAAATGGGCTCAAATCGGGTTGTGGTAGTCATTGCACAACTTTGTAAATTTAGTGAAATATCACTGAATTACCCTTGGAAACGAGTGAACTTTATGGCATGTAAATTATTTCTTAATAAAACTGCTAATGATGAAATAAGTTTAATTTGTATTATAGTGCCTAGCACATGGTCCTGGATAAATGATGGCATTGTTCTTTGAGGATGTATTTTGTCTTCTGAGCTCAGACCTGTTGCCTCAGAGGGCAAGGATGGCAATAAAGGCTGTAACAGCTAGCATTTCCTGAGTACTCGCTCTGTTCCAGGCTCTTAACTGTTTTCTATATACTACCTCCTTCAACCCCCCAAAATTTTCGGACACAGTAGTATTATGACTGATTACAGATAAGGAAATGGAACCTTTGTGGAGGTCACTGGGCCAATGCATGGGGAGTCATTTGCCTCCAACAGATCTAAGCTGTCCTAACCATCGAGAGAACCTTTAAGACCTAAGAATTTCTAGTCCAGTCATGGGGCCAGCTAATGGCTCTGGGCACCTTCTTCAGTCTATGCCTGGCCTTACTGAAGCCTTCCCTGTTGGAACTTTGTGATTCTGGATTACCTAGCAGTTCTGCTGTGTCGGCCACCATCACAGTAATTGCCTGCCTGACTCTGACTCATGTTTATCCTTGTTATAAGACTGACCCCTCTTGACCCACGTTGGCTGGTGATGAGTGGCAGCTTCTGAACACTGCCTGGTTGACTTCTGTGACTCGTGCTGATATTTTGGCCTCACTTGTGCCCTGAGAGTTCCCTGAAGGTCACAAAAACCTTCCCCCAGGATTTGCCCTCAGCCAGGACCCAGTAGGCCCATGGCCCATTCCCTGTCATCCCTGGGCCACGGTGCAGCCTCATTGTAGGAGGGAAGAACCTTTTATCAGTCTAAGTTTAGCTCCTGGTGACACTCTGGGCCACAGGGTTGGAAGGGCTGGGCAGAGTTTCAGTTCCTGACTGGGCTTTAAGTCCTTGGGCCCAAATCCCTCTCACACTTTCTACCATATTGCTCACGTCCTAGGATTCTCGGGGTTTCATTTGCTCTGAGCGTTAAGCACTATGGCTAATGCTTTATATCAGAGTCCTATTAGACATCAGCTGAAACATAAAAGGAATGTGTACTCAGACGGTCCTATGTGAGGTCCAGTAGGAGTGAAGTTTCCCCTCGCATCCACCAGCGTTTAGACAAACTTACAGTCTGAGCACTCTTCTGCAGTTGACAATTTCACACAGCTTGTGTTTTGTCACTGTTCCATAAATTGCCTCGAATTTGCTCTACTCATTGCCTTTGCTGAAGGTATCCCCCTTGTCTGGATTCAATCCGCCCATCAGTCACTACTTACGAAACACCTCCCATGACCAGGACCTGTGCTAGGAGCACAGGGGAGGCAGGGAAGCCTAAGAAAACTCCACTCTTTTAGGATCTTTGGGGCCCATTGGAGAGACAGGAAGCACATAGATAAAGAGGAGATTGATGTTAGTGGAGATAACGGGATGCGGAAGAGATGAAGAGATAACGCCACAGCCCTGTTGAAACTATAATTGAGTCTAGATTGCTCGGGTCAGGCTAACCGTGGTTGAGGCCCAGCAGGGACCTGGACAAACTGATCGCCAAGGCAGGCCTCTCTAATGAGGCAGGCTCTAAAATGCTCGTCTCTGGTTGCTCCCCCAGAGTGGGAGGAGACAGGCCTGGTGGGGCTGCATCTCGGGATGCTGGCGCGAGGGCCATTCCCAGCTCCCCGTAGCCAGAGCAGCTCTGGTGACAGATAATCCAGAGTTGTCTATTGTCTTCACTGAAATTTGGGGGTTACCTCTGATGTTCCAGCAGCCCACCCTCCCTCCCCCAAATTTGCTGAATTCCCAGAACCACTTAATAGGCTCCTGAGTAACTGAGAAGTGAAAGTGTATATCTAAGCCGTCACGAGGCAAACGTTGTCAGGTCACACTTCCTCCTTGAGCCAACGTCCAGTGTTAGATGGCCTCATGGGTCTTTCTCCTGTTTCTTTCCTTCTCCTCCTCCCATCATGCTGTAGCTAAATCATGGGCTAAAACGGCTTTTGTAGAAGGGAGGAGGCTATCACCGTTGTCCGTGACACGGTTTCTGTAGGAAAACGTGTTGTGCGCGGAGGTGATACAGAGCACATCTGCCTCTCCTCCCAGCCCTCCCACCCGGGTACTGCTCCAGGGAATCCTTTGGTCTGTGGAGGGTGGGAGAGGCCAAGGACTGAGTGAGTGTGAGCAGCAGGGGGCTGGGGGGTGCTCCCTCCTTCCCTCCTCTCAGCATGCAAACAGAAGGCTGGCTTGCTTTTTATCTTGATTATATTTATGTTGGGCTTTAGCATTTGATTCCTTTTGAACAATGAATCCTGCTGTTAAGCAAAAAACAAAAAATATTGAAAACTACTGTTTTAAGAAAGCCGGTATTAAGTGCAATGCTGAACTAGTGATTTAAAAGAAGTTTGTTTAGGGACTTGAAATAATAACCCAGAGGAGCAGATTCCCTGTTAGTCCTGGACGTGCTCCAAGTTCATGCTCTCCTGACTCTGCTAAGTTCTAAGAACGCTGTAGCTAGATCTTTATTTCAGCACACAATTTTTAATCATGTCTCCACCCTGAAGAGAATGAAGTGGCATTCAGATTTAGGGGATTATAAAGGACATGGGTATTTAAGCTTTTGCATTGTTTGCATTTGCATTAAGGATACAAAGATTTTAGAATTGTTTATGGAATGCCCTTTTCCTAACATACACTTTTTCTGCCCATCCTCTAAAGATAACACTGAAAAATATTTTGTGTCCAGGCTAGAAATTACCAAATAATTTTACAGCACCGTAACTTTTGTTATTTTCCTCATTCAGACTTTTTTGGGTACACTGAGGGCTTTGTACCCTTCACATGTTTTGTCATGAAACAGTGGATAAGCCTTGTTCACCATCTGTTTGCTTACAAAAGGTGATACTGGGAGGCAGTAAGAGTTGGAGCCAGTAATTAGAAGCCAGGCATCTCGGACTCCCTTGATTACCCTGATTCTGGAAGTTTCTTAACAGCTGGATTCCCAGGGACAAGGATTCTGGCCTTGCTGACTTCACAGACTTGTTTTGAGTTGAAATGAGTATTGCTACGTGAAGGCTTTCTGCAAATAGCAAGAGCTGTACCTACACAGTCCCATCACCTACAGGGAACAGGGCTCTGCATTTTTCACATGACAATGATACTTGTTATCTAAAGACATCATGACTTCATCTTTCAGTATGTTGAGATTCAGTCTTTTCGAAGGGAAAAAGAAAATTATAAAAGCTGTAGGACTTACCTTGAATAACCATAGAGGGATTTTTCATAATCTTAAATATAAGTGTCATTTTTAAAGAAGAATGGATTATCATGCTTGTATGTTTGTAACTTGAATTTTATTGTCCACTACCATGCTATTACTGTTGTATACAGATTTGGCATTTATGTTTTCAGTCCACCGAATTTCGTATTCCTTTATTGTATTAAAAACAGAGGTATCACAAAGAGGAATGCCACGACAGTAATGTTTCGTATCTTCTTGATCTTGTTCATGTCCATGAAGTAATTAGCGCTAACAGGAAAGCTTTCATCTCTGGCTGGCACATATATGTTAAGTATGTAAACAGTATGTTCCATGTCTTACTGTGTTAAGACAGAGACATTACAAGGATGGAACCAGTAAAGCTGTACTTTTTTTTCTAAAAGACATTTTAGGATGTTGATATAGCTCAGAATAATGTCTTTTCATTTTTGTAAAAATCCTTGAGTTTTCAAACCTAGAACAACTGAGCTGCACTTGATGATGCGTTGATATTTGGAATGCAGCATTCCCTTTCCCTCCTTTTGTGTTGTTACAGAGGAAATGGGTTTTCAGTGTACATGATTCAAGCGGGGGAAAAAAACCCATATTGAATTCCACAGTATTCCTTAGACTGGGAAACGAATCTCTTTTGGAGTAGTCACGTTTATTTTATCGTAACTCTATAGCCAAACAATTTACTATGTAAATGTAGAAATACAAACAGCTTTATCGAACAAAATACTATTTTCTAGCTGCCTAACAGAAATGATTTACTTAAGAAAACAGAACAAAATTTCTCAGTTTCATTATTCAGCTTTGTAAATATTTTGCCAGAGCTTTTTTTCTTGGGGTGAGGAAGCAAATAAAAGAGTTTAAAAGCTCATAGGTGTCTATTTTGTTTGAGCTTGGTGTATTTATTAAGAGTAAATTCTGTATGTCTTTGCAGTTCATCAATATGTGTATTTAGAAGTTTCTCAAATTCTTTTGCTCGCTTCTCTTCCTCCAGAAGGAAATGCTGTGCAGCCAAAGAGGCTGGGAAGACTATATCTGGGGGAGACTAAAGAGAGAAAGAAATGTTAGATGAGGAACACAAAGCCTTCTAAACCTTCCTGTTTCCAGGCATGCTTCATCCCTGGCATGGTCAGACGGCGCAATTCTTAATGAAATAACCTAGGCTGTGGTAATACAGTGACTGCTCGTGAAATCCTCAAGGAACGAAAACATCACAGCACCATTATATTCGAAAGTTCCAGAAACGAATATTACCGTGTCCAGCTGCAAAAGCAGAGACAACAAAATTACCATGGGACTTGCCTAAAACATACTCGACCAATTTGTAAAACCAAAGGTATTCATCTGAAAATAGGCAACTCCAAAAAGCTAAAGTGAAGATTATAGTAGACTTGGGCAAGAAAAGCTTAATAGGAAAAAAACAGTTAAGGATTGGCTGAAAAAGGGAGCTAATTGCTATCTGGAGTTGGCCAGGTGAGGAGGGCTGGCAGCATGATGCACGTCGGGGTTCGAGCGGCTTCCTCATGGGGAAGGCCCTAATGCTGGAATGTAGCTCGTTTGTCCGATTAGAGCCAACAAAGCCTCAGTGGTAAGCGCCCAGTTACACACTTCGTGCTAATATGGAAGTGCTTGCTCATTTAACGGTTTGTGACCTGTGAAGTCCTAATTTATGCCAGATGACTTAGCAGATCCCATACTAGAAGAATCTCTGATAGAAAAAAATTGCCTCGTGTAGCCTCTGGTAAATTTACTAGGCAAGTTGCATTGAAGGCCTTTAAGATTCTGGAGCAAGGCCACACCATCTGTAGCAGAAAACTGTATACTATTCACAGAACAGTCCCTGCAATGCTACTGAGCCCTGGCTGAGGCAGAGCATCTACGGAGTGGATAGGATGACTGGATCAAGCTCTGTCCTTGGCCACTCCAGTGGAAATTACAGACGGGTTCAGTGGCACGGTCTCCCTTTCACCAAGGTTAAGTTAGCTAACCGTTGATGTTGAGTGTCTCATCTGCTTGCAATAGAGACCAAAGCTGAGGAGTTCCTGATACGGCACCATCCCTCAAAGAGACCAGCCAGCCTCTTGGTGGCAATTAGTTTACCCCAGGTCCCTTACACCTTGGAAAGGGCAATGTTTTATCCTTACCAGCACTGACATGTATTCTGTGGGTTTGCCTTTCCTGCCCGAAGGGCCTTGGCCTTGATCACTCCCTGAGAGCTCACAGAGAGACCGATTTATTGACGTGGGATCCTGATTAAAAGTAAAGGAACCTAATTTACAGCAGAGGAGTATGGCAGTGGGACATGACCACGGCATTCACTGGTCTTCCTGCATACAGCACCATCTAGAGGAGGCTAGCCTGATAGACTTCTTGAAGGCAGGGCTGGGGCATCGTCAGCTGGGAAATTATAGCCTGTGAGGATGGGGTACCGTTTTCAGGATATGGTATAGACTTTCAACCAATGGCTATTATATGCTACTGTGTCTCCCACAGGTAGAACACACAAATCTGGGAACAAAAGGGAGGATGGAGGAATGGCCCCACCCTATCATTTCTGGTGACCCACTTGGAGAATTTGTACCTTCTGTCTTTGTATCTTGAGGCTCTGTTGATGTACAGGTGGTGGGTCTCAGAGAGGGAAATGCCCCCACCAAGAGACCCGTAAGAGTTTCACTAAACTTAAAGCATTGGCTGGTACCCAGCCACCTTGGGCTCTTTGTGCCAACAGATCAGAGGCTCAGAAAAGGTACCCCGGCAGAGGTACCTGGCCCTAATCATCACAAAGACTACTGCTACATAATGGAGGCAGTGAGGAATATGTTTGATATTCAGGTGAGCCACTGAGGTTTCTTTAAATACCCTTGTGCCCAGTTTTAACTGTAAATGGCAAACCACATCCTGACAAGGGCATGGGAGCCTTAGAATGGGTGACAAGATGATGACTATCAGTCAAGTCCTTGAGACCAGCTGCAGCATCAAGGCCTGTATTTTGTTGCACTAACCCTCCTCTTATAAGCTTTCCCAGAAATTATGGCCAGCCAGAAGCTTGGAGAAGACAGGCCTGAATGGAATGAACCCCAGGAAGAGAACATGGATCTGAGTGGTTCAAGAGGTGGACTGTAGCGGATGCTGATGGTGCCCTATGGGGATTCCCTTCAACGGGCTGGTGCAGCTATCCTCCAGCTACTGTGGGTGTTGGTTCTCTGGAGACCTGCCCTTGGCTGGGCTGGAGCTTTGCAAATATTTTGACTGCCTCATCTGAGAAGTTGCAGTATTCCCCTCAGCCCATTCCCTCTCCTCTCAGGGGCAAGGACTGATTGACGTGGGGCACAAAAAGCCAGACTTCTTGTCTCCAGGGGAGCCGACTCTGTCCTGCAGTACATGCTCCAAGCTCCTGGTGAGACCAGGCCAAGCTAATCTCTACCTGAGACCTCATCCTTGTTTAGCTTTTCTCGCCTCCCCTAGACTGTTTCCCTGACTCTCCTTCTGCCGAGAATACTACCTTCAATAAATCACTTTCATAAGAATCTCCATCTCAGATTCTAGGAAACTTGATCACAGATGGACGACTTCCTAACTTCTGGCTTGAGTGATGACTGGGTGACATCAGTGCCATTTATTGAGAAAAAATAAAACAGTAAAAGGGGCCCATTAGGGGTAAGGTCTTATTTATTTTCGATTCCCCAGGTTCTAGCACAGATTTTGGCACAGAGTACATTTTAAACAAAATTTTTGGATTAACATATGAATGAAGAAAGTGCATTTGATTTTAAATAATGTTGAATTAGGGGTGACTTGGGACTCAAACAGATTGTCATATAGAAAATGGGATATACCATCAGTCCAGATCTCAAAGGGTAGGTCTGGATCAGAGATATTTCAAAGTTATAGATAATTAAAGCTGTGAGTCTGATTGAAATCATCTAAGACATGCAAATAAAAAAAGCAATTCAAAAATGGAATCTTGGAGAGAACTTCATTTCAGGCACCCACTCCCATGTTCATGTTCTTGACATTGTCAGCAATGATAACTGCATTATTTATTAATCAAGATTTTCAGCAACCCAACCCATTATCCTTCCAGCTTAGTCTAGTATTCCCACTTTCTCATGTCACTCATTCCCTTCTAACTCTGCTTATATTCCAGATCCATCGTTATAACCATTCAGCAACTTGTCTCCACCCCCCCCCCCCCCGCCCCAGGGCACTTACCTGTATCCTGTCTCTGTCCTAGGTACTCGGCAAAACCCAGACCTAACTAAACTGCCTGAGCCATGCCTGCACCTGAGCAGCGGCATCCTCAGGCAGGTGGACGGAGGAGGAATTGTATTACTGTGGGGACTGCTTTCACTTAAAGTCCGTGACCTCAAATGTGAGATGGTAACACCGCCTGACCATTCTATTGCACTTCCCTGGCATATTCACTTTCTCACTCATTACCTGGTGGCCTTGCCTCTTTCTTGGGAGGGAGCTCCCTCATCTCTCCACACCTTTTGCACCTGTAGCCATATTTTAGGCCATACTCTGTTTCAGAGACTCTTACTTCTACCTATACCATGGATTCTATTCCTTCGTATCTTCTCGATGGCTGTTTCTGCAAATGAACCTCGTTACTCATGGACCCCACCTCCTTTGCCATCAATCTTTCCTCCTCTCCTTGAAGATTCCCATTGGACCACTAAATGTTATGGTCTGAGGCTTTGTCTTAGGGCAGTTTCCCCATTTATACCCTTCCAAGTATTCTCATCCAGTCCTACAGATTTAAATATCAGCCACGTGCTGATTACTCCCATATTTTGTTTCCAACTCTGATCTTTTCCTTGAATCCCAGAGTCACATATCTTAACACCTATGTGAGATCCCCATTTGCATGTCTAATAAACATTTTTGAATTTAAGTGCCCAATCTAGAAATCATGATTTTCTCCTCTAACCCTGCTCCTTCCCCTAGGCTTTCATGTCAGAAAGTGGTGCTAGCCTCCACCCAATGCTCAGGCTGACATCCTAGGACTCATCTCTGAGTCCTCTCTTTCTCTCTCCCCAGAGCCAACCCACTGTCAGTCTGGTCTGTTTTCCACAACATTTCAGATCCCACGTGCTGCTCTATTTCCACCGCTACCAAGCCAGCATCATCATCTCTTGCCTTGACTACTGAAATAGCCCAAAAATTGTTCTCCCCACTTCTACCTTTGCCCCTCTATCTTTTATTATTTATTTGGCAATCAAAAGGGTCTTCCTAAAAGATACTTTAAAAACAAAACTCAAATTCCTTCCCTTGGCCTAAAGTCTCTACAGATCTGGTCTTCCTCTGATTACTTCTCTGTCTCCATTTCATTCCATCCTCTCTCTCTTCCTGGCTCCAGACCCTTCCACCCCCGCACCCTGACTGGTTCTCAAACTTACCAAACTTGTTCCTGCCTTACAGATTTGCACCAGGGGCTCCCTCTGCCTGAAGCCCTCTTCCTCCAGATCTTTGGATCATTTTTTGTTGTTGTTAATTTAGGTCTCCTCAGGGTCCCCTCTTCATTTTCCAGGCCACTCAACTGAAAGTAATCCCTCACACTCCCATCACTTCCTATCACATTACCGGCTTTTCTTTTTGTCATAAAATTTATCACTATTTGATATTTTTTATATATTCATTTGTTTCCAGTCATCAATCCCCCTTTTTTGAGGTAAAATGCACAACAAATAAAACCATTTTAAAATGAACCATTCAGTGGCATTTAGTACATTCAGAATGTTATGCAACCACCATCTCTATCTGGTTCTAAAATAGTTTCATCATCCTGAAAGGAAACCGAACCCACAAAGCCAGTGATCCCCATTCCCTGTTCCCTGTGCTGCCTCTGGTAACCACCAGTCTGCATCCTGTTTCTATGATTTACCTATTCTCAGCACTTCCTATAGGTGAAATCATAAAATATATGACCTTTTGTGGCTAAATGCTTTCACTTAGCGTAGTCTTTTGGGGGTTCATCCACCACATTGTAGCATGTATCTCTACTTCACTCCTTTTCATGGTTGAATAGTATTCCATTTTGTGTCTGTAACACTATTTGTTAATCTGTTCATCCACTGGAGGGGGGGTAGTTCCTCTCTTTCACCAGACTGTAGAGTTGTCTGTCTCATCAAAGATGTGTTTAGAACAGAACCTGCCATAAGCTGGGTACTTATAATACATGTTTATTTTATGACTGAATGATGAATATTAATATTTAAGGGATGGGTATAGGAGAGAGAAGCTTGGAAGCAGACTGGGAAAAAGTAACCAGAAAGGCAGCAGGAAAATCAGTGGAGAATAGGGTCATAGAAGCCAGAGAACATGACAGTTTCAAGAAAAAATGATTAAGGAAGATGACTTCTTAAAGGCATATTTAATTAACAAGTAGAAGGTTGCTGCTGGTCTTAGAAGGAACAGTACTATTGTAGAAGTTAAAATGCAGACGTGGGGGGAAACTACGGGACCCAGAACAGTGAGCTAGGCCATGTCTTTCAGGGAACATCACAGATTAAGTTCCCCATGCCCAGACCAAAAACTAGAGAATTTTCTTTCCTGGAGACTCTGGGGCTTATGAACTTCCTCAAAGGAGTGACACAGAATTTTAGAGATAGAAGGAAGTCCAGTGTTTATTAAGTTACTACAACAGATACTCTGGGATGCTTTTAATGTGCCTACTAGTGCTACACACTATTTTAGGTGCTGGGATTACAACAGTAAACAAAGACAGAAAATGTCCCTACTTTCATGGAGTTTAAATTCTAGAGGAGGGAGGCAAACACACAAGCAGACGTAAAATGTTTCGTGGTGAAATGCTATGAACAAAATAAAAACCAGGACGAGGGGTCAGGAAAAAGAGAGGGAGATGCTACTGTAGGTTGGTTGCTCAGGCCTCTTGGATGAGGTGATATTTGAGCAGAGACTAATGATCCTAAAATGCTAAAATCAGCTGACATTAGAACCATATGGCATTTAACAATTCATCATGTTTGGTTTCACTGGAGTATATGCTTACTTCGGAGTCCTTAAAGATCCAAATTTTGTTGATACAGAATTTGCTAAATCCCCCTAGCTGTTCCTGTAGCTTAAATAAGGAAATTTATTTCAGTTACTTTATTGGTATGAAATTTTATTCTGTTCAAATAATTCTGGCATTTTATGTCAAGATGAGCACAAGAGAGCATTTCAAGGCTTTAGAGATCTCTAACGCTTCAAAAGTTAATGGTTTTAAGTCTTCTACTTCCACAGCAGCTTAAATCTTACTTCCAGTCTCTACCAAAAGAAGGTGATAGAATTCAGAAAAACAGGAAAGTATTAATGGGATACCCCATCAGTTTAAACATTTTCTGTTGTCATTGTTTATAATTTGTATCCGATATTAGTATATCATGGAGAGGTGCTGAAAATTGCATAATATACTTTGAATACAAGTGAAAGTAATTGCTAAGAGTAACACTACTTACTTTCTGAGGTAGACATCTACTTTAAGAAACCCTGTGATTATTGTGTTCAAGAAATTAAATCGTAAGGCAGAAAATTTCAGCACAGAAATGGAAAATGTAAAAAAGAATCAAATGAAAATTTAAGAACTGAAAAATATAAGACTGAGATTAACCTACATGAGACCACTTTCTTAAGACAGGGAGAGGTGGCTCTTTTATGCATAGAAACCAATGCAGAGAGTCAAGGAAAATGAAGAAACAGAAGAATAGGAAATTAAGAAACTTTCCCACCTGTTTTATGAGCTCAGCATAATCTGATACTAAAGCTTGACAAGGACAGCAAAGGAACATTACAGGCTAATTTCTCTAGTGAACACAAAGCAAAAATTCTAAGCCAATATGAACAGACCAAATGCAGTTATCAAATGGAGTTTATTCCAAGAATTCAAAGTTGGGTTAACAAGAAAAAAACATCACATTAACCAAGCAAAAGAGAAAAATTATACGGTCATTTCTTTTCTTTTGGTCATTTCAAAAGAAGCAATAAAAGCATCTGATAAAATTCCATATTAATTCATGAACAAAGTTAGCAATCTAGGAATAAAAGGGAATTTCCTTAATCTTTTCAAAGGAATCTACAAAATACCTAGACACAATGGTGGAATATTGAAAGCTTTCTCTTTGCAACTGAGAATGCAAGAAGGATATTGCTTATACCACTTCTCCTACTCAACATTTACAGGAGGCCTTAGTATAATAAAGCAAGAAAAAGAAAATAAGAAGGTACAAAGATATGAAAGTAGAAAACAAACTGTCATTATTTTGATTCTATATATAAAAAATTCAATAAAATCTGCAGGACTAGAATACATGTGCAAATTCAACTGAATATTTTCATGGGAAAACAGTTTGAGAATACTACCTTGCACCACATGCAAAAATTGATTCCAGGTGTAAATCTAAGTGTGAAAGGTAAAGAGCCATAGGTTCTAGAAGGTAACATAGGATAGTATTTTTATAACTTTGGGACAGGCCAAGTTTTAAATAGGATACCAAAAATGTTAACTATAGAGAAAAAGATTCATAAGTTTGACTGTATTAAAATTAGGAACTTCTGGTTACCAAAAGATATTATTAAGTGAGGAGGCAAGTAAGAGTGGGAGAAGATATTTGCCATATACATAATCAACAAAGGGCTTATATCCAGAATATATAAAGAACTCCTATAAATAGATGAGAATAAAGACAATCCAATAGAAAGTTAGGCAAGGAAATTGAACAGACACTTTACAAAGGAGAATATCAAAATGGCCAATAAATACACAAAAAGGTGCTCAGTTTTATTCACCAGATACGTAATTAAGACCACAATAGGAAGTTACTACACACTGACCATGAAAGCGAAAATTAAAAGACCAATAATACCAAGTGTTGGAAAGAATATATAACAAGAAGAACATTCTTATTGGGGTATTAGCTGGCTCAAACAGTTAGGAAAACAGTTTGGCATTACCTCCTAAAGCTGACCTTATGCATATCCCATGACCTAGCAATTCCACTCTTGGGAATATACCCAATGGAAATGTGTATACGTGTGCACCAAAAGACACATAAAAGAATGTGTTTAACAGTATTATTTGTAATATTCTCAAGCAGGAAATAAGTCAAATGCCTGCCAACAGTAAAATGGATAAATTGTAGTCTCATTCTATGTAGAATTTATATATATGGAATACTATAGAGAAACAAAAATGGACCAACTACAGCCATATAAAACAATGTGGATGGTGAACCTCAGAAATAATGTTGAGCAAAAGAAGCCAGACACAAAGAACACATATAGTATGATACCATTTACATTAAATTTACAAATGGCCGCAATTAATTCATGACATTAAAGGTCAGGATAGTGGTTACCTTGGAAGCAAGTGGAAGAAGTAACGGGAAGGGGATGTGAGAGGTGCTTCCGGAGTGCCACCAACGTTCTGTTTATTACCTGCGTGCTAGTTACCTGATGCTCCCTTTGTGATAATTCATCACGCTGTCCAGTTCTGATCTGCGCATATTTCTGTATGTATGTCAGAGTCAATAAAAAAGTTTTTTTTTTAAACAGTCATAAAAGATCACTTGTAGCTCTCTAAAATAGGCAGATCACTGAGGGCTCACGGAGTGTCTAGAGATGGGTCCTAAGCACTTGGATTTTTAAAAAGCATCACCAGTAATGCCGGCCTGCACTAGAGGTGAAGAGCCATAGGTTGAAATACTTCATGCAACATTATGGATCTCTTTTCCTTCTATGGAAAGGCATGGCCAAATGACTCCAGACCCACCTTGGAGTCCTATCCAAGGAACAACGTTGTTTTTTTTTTTTTTTTTTTTAACTCTGTATACATCAGTATATAGGTATCAGTGTAAGAGTAATCACTCCCTCAAGGAAAAAATTAACCAACAACCAGCAACTCACCAGTGGGAACACTTCGTTGTCACTAACCAGGGGACTTGTCATTTCTTTGGTTTGAAATGGCATGGGTGGTAGTGGAGACATCACACTTCGGTTTGGTTCACGATCTTGGCTAAGTCTAGAAGAGAAGGATGGTCCTCGTTTACCGCTACCAAGGACACTGCTTGTTCATGCAGCTAAGGATTTAAATTTCTCTGATGTCTAACAGGAGGGGAAGCAGGACAAAGCTTTGGGCTTCTTATCTCGGTGTCTCTTTGAAAATCATCTTCCAGATGAGTCATTTCTAATGATTAATAGTGAACAGGAAACTTGGTAATTGTTAAAAATATTCTTCTACTCTTATTGCCTATATTGTATCCCTTTCTGTGTTTTACTTTCAGATCTCTTTGCCATTTAATTAAATAACACGATACCAGTTTGGGAAGAATCTCAAAACAGCTCACACTGCTGCCCTTGACAATTCTAAATAATCCTTTTTTTGTATTCTCTGTTTCACTTAACCTTGCTGGTTTTCTTAAAAGAATTATGCTTTTTTTTTTTTATGCTAGAACAAGTCCTTGTACAGTAATTCTAATTCCTATAGGGCTTAATAATTTGTTAACATTTTGGGACGCCTCGGTGGCTCAGTCGTTAAGCGTCTGCCTTCAGCTCAGGTCATGATCCCAGGGCCCTGGGACTGAGCCCCACATCGGGCTCCCTGCTCCACGGGAAGCCTGCTTCTCCCTCTGCCCCTCCTCCTGCTCATGCATTTTCTCTCTCACTCTCTCTCAAATAAATAAAATCTTAAAAAAAAATTTGTAACATTTTTTCAATTTATATCATCTGCTAAACTCTTCCACACTTAGTAGTTGTATGACACTGACCTTGAGCAGGAAACTATATCTTTCTGTGACTTTAATTTTTTCATTGATAAAAAATGGGTTCTTGGGAGAATTGAACTCCACGGTTGGGATGAAAGTTATAGTACAGAACTGGTTGTGTGTGCTAAAATATAAGGTAGAAGATGAGACTGAATAAAATACCAGTGAGATTTTAAATTTTGGTATGCTGACTAAACAAGTGAATAACAAAACAAAAACCCGAACCAATTTCCAGTAAAATTTTATATAAAAACATCCTAATAGTATGAGCTATTTGGGACTAAATAAATGTCTTTCTGAACATTAATTCATGAAATTGGGGTTGAAATTTAATCAAAATCATCAAAGCCCATGAAAACATAAGAATCCCTTCAACTTAAAATTATTTATTCATTTTTACTGATTATTCAAATTCTCCACAGGTATTGATTTACCATTTTCAAAGCCTTCATATTTTAATTCCACGCAGCTCCAAAAAATTCACATTATTGTTCTCTGTTCTTATCCAAAGACTATCTATCTATATAGGCTTTTTTCCTATTATGTAAACATTTTCAAAGCGATGCATACAAATAACAATAAAAGTTAAGTGAGACATCTGTAAATTAGGACATAAAAACAAACACAACATGTTTTCCATTTTTACTTATCTTGAAATATATCTTTTTTTTAAATCCATTCTTCCAAACCATAATTACCATGGAAACAGAACAGCAAATTAAATTGAAATAACATGGCTTATGATGTGCACGTTAAGATGAAACATCTCACAATTCAGATAGAATTGTAACAATTGCAGAGTACATGTGTGTAGAGTCTCCAGCTAAACCTTTTAATTTGAGGCTACCGTCTATACTTCAAAGCACAGTGGGAAAAAATAAGATAATTATAGAAGGGACTCAAGAAATATATATCTCTTTGTAATCTCAATTATACAAAGATTTCAGGGAAAGTATTATTTGTCCTGAATTTTCTACAGAATTATCTCAACTATCCATTTTGCTTTGGATATATCGATACAGTTTTACAGTGTTAATTCTTAAAACTTATATATGAACATGCTTTTTACTGTAAGAGCCATAAAATGTAGAGATTGAAAGGGAAGGCTCCATTATGGAGTAAAATCCTTTTGCTTTAAATCGTCTTTATATCTGAAAAGTTCTTCTTCTAGAATGCAGCTATTCAAATACTTCATAAAACCACCTTGCAAAAAAATGCTCAGTCTATCAATTTAAAAGCTATCTTAAAAGTTATTTCCAAAGGCTTTTATTTTCCTCTCACAAGCTGGTCTTTTCAGTTAGCTTTTCCACAGGCCCTCGTCCAAGGCCTCTGCCTACTTCGGCCAGGAGGGCAGGACCCAGTTGTTGCTGGGAGCAGAACTCTGCCCCCTTGAGACCTTGGAGTCAATTGTCTGCAGTTTTCAGAGTTGTCTGACTGTACGTCCATTCCTGGCCCTCTGTTAATTTTCCCTGGGCTACAAGATAATGTCCTCAGCATGGAACAGGATCCTTTCACAAGTGCTAATTTGCCTGCTTCCAACCTCACCTTCTAACATTCCATGTGATGCTCCCCGGTCTATGAACTACTCATTTTTCCTGGCCCACAACTGTTCAGCCTGCTATGTTTTGCTCCTTATTCAGTAACACCTTGGTACAAAATTTTCTCAACTTACTTTTTTTGCTTCTAGATGACTATTCATTCCTTGACAAGGGATTCTGTGAGAGTAGTTATGACAAACCTACCGACTTTGTGGTTTTCTTAGTATTAGAATCTTTTTATTTATTAAACTAAATTTGAAGCAATTTTAATGATTAATATTTGTGATCACTAAACTCTCTCCAGTACATGATGTAACCTTTAAAACCATACATTGGCTTTTACATATGTATCATATATAGAGATGAAACCCCACTTATTACAAAATTGAGTTGTCATTAAAATTCGTCATATGTTAATTGCTCTGGATACCACTATTCCAAATTAGCTTGTAAATTATCCTTAAACTTCAAAACTCTAACATTTAAAAACTTTAAAAATATTCAATACATCCTCACCAAATTCAATTACATCTTATTCATAATTTTTTTAAGTGCTGAATAACTTCCTTATCGGAAAGCAAATCTGTTGGAATATCCTAAAATGCTTCGCATTTTAAGTGGATGAGCATGAAGAAATTCTTATTACTTCTAATAGGAATGAAACAACAACAAAAATTGGTTTACTTCCGAGTGGATAAAAGATTATTTAAAAATGTATTACGCGAAAGAAGTCAATCAGAGAAAGACAATTATCATATGATTTCACTCATGTTGGAATTTAAAAAACAAAACAGAGGATCACAGGGGAAGGGAGGGAAAAATAAAATAAGATGAAATCAGAGAGGGAGACAAACCATAAGAGACTTTTAACCATAGGAAACAAACAGGGTTGCGGGAGGGGTGGCGGGTGGGAGGATGGGGTAACTGGGTGATGCGCATTGGGGAGGGCACCTGATGTGATGAGCACTGGGTGTTGTATGCAACTGATGAATCCCTGAACTCTGCCTCTGAAACTAATAATACACTATATGTTAATTAATAGAATTTAAATAAAATTTAAAAATAAAAATGCATTATGCAAATCTTCCTCAGCTAAAAGGAGGAAGCGGCTAAAAATTAGACTTGAAAATTTTGTGGGGGACACCTGGGTGGCTCAGTCAGTTAAGCATCTGCCTTCAGCTCAGGTGATGATCCCGGGGTCCTGGGATCGAGCCCCGCATCAGGATCCCTGCTCAGTGGGTAGTCTGCTTCTCCCTCTGCCTGCCGCTCCCCCTGCTTGTGCTCTCTCTCTCTGACAAATAAATAGAATCTTAAAAAAAATGTTTGTGGAACACTATCTTCATATAATTTTACCTAAAAGCTTTCTCCTTTCTAAAACAGTTTAATGAGACCTCACCGCATTAGCCATCGCTATGTAAATACGACTCCGTATTTTCCAACGATTTTTATGCCTAACGAATATATATAGCTTTTACTATTTGGCTTCACTGAGCTGTGCTGTGAGGGAAAGAAGGAACATTTCATTTTTCACTTGCTAAAATTAATAGACATGTACTTTACAGCCCTCCCCACTGCTGAGCCCGCTGTCCTTGCAACTCAACAACACTTTCCCCATAGCGAGTTCTACATGGTAATAATTTATTCAGAACATTTGAAATGCTGTTTCTTTTAAAAATCAGGTCACTGGAGAACACTGAAATCAGACAAGGCATTAAAACAAATTTAATGAAACTTTCAACAGATGAGACTGGCAGGACACAGGCTCTGCAGCAGGAATAGTAGTCCAAACTGCTTATTAAGATAATCTCCTGCTGAGCATTTTACCTCTTGTGTTGCTTTCTGTGTCCCCTGTGGTCTTGTTTTCGTTAGGTACTTTTAACACATTCTGTGCCGCCCAACAAAGAAAAAAGGGGGCAATCCAAACAATAAAATTACTTTTTAAAAACAATAAAAGGCAGAGTAACTGCCTTTCAAATAACAACTCCTGGTACCTTCATCTAAGGCTTTCAAAGTTATTCCCAACAAGCAAGAATAGGAAACAATGTTCCGCCCCTAATGGGGGCTCAATACAGGCCAGTCCTGACTAACATCTATGGGAAGACCCTTTATCATATCTTTAGGGGACTGCTTTTCTCTTGACAAGGAAAAAACTGTATACACGGGCTCGTGATTTGACCCACGGAGAAATAAATCTGTAGAGTAGGGAAGCCCTTTGAGAAGGGTTTATTCTATATTAGAAAAAATACTTCTATGCCACAATCAAAACGAGCCCCCTTTTGGACAGATTTTCGGTTCTACTGGCCAGCAGGCATGGACACATTCACTGGAGGACTGGCCCATGGCTCTGCCTCAGTGACCTGTTCCATCCGCACGACCCCCCCGCCCCCCGCCCCAAGCCCCGGCCAGAATGCTCCCATCAGTTGTCTTTTAGGGTAGCAGCCAGTCTGTCCTCATTTCCTTCCTGAACTACTTGAAGAAAGGTCATTAATTTAGCACTTTTGAATGCTGGCTGTTTCTTGCATCGGATTAGGACATATCCTCTAACACATACAGGGCTGAGGTGATTGAGGTAGGAGAGACATACACGACATCCGCAAGAATGTTGAACAGATATATTTTTTGGTATGTCCCATGGATTTACAGATTTAGCCACCTGCAGAACTGGGCATGCTTAGTTATAAAGATGAGGCTGGCATCACCCCTCCTCCACAGGACTATCTCCGAGGAAATGTCAGATTCAGCCATTTGGCCATCAACACTGACTTTTTAGGCACTGTGAGTTGTTGAAGAAGTATTCATATTATTATGCTAAAAATTTTGTTAGTAATAATAACATCAATAAGAATAGCTAACATTTATGGAAATACATGGTTTACATGGAACTATGTGTTCTTCTCTAATTCTCACAAAAAACTTGTAATTATTATCCCTATTTATCAATGGGAAATTGAGGATCACAAAGGTTAAATAAATTTCCCAAGGTTGTAAATATTACATTATATGAAAACAGTATGCAAGATTTTCCTGCTAAGTATTATGAGTTCTTGAGCAAAAGTTTTACGGAAGTTGGGTCCTATCAATTTACCATTTCGCGGCACCACGAAATGTCAATAACTCTGATATTAAATAAGTTTGAGAAGTGTTGCACACCACAGCCCTTCTTGAACCTCACAATGTACACTAACATATTAATGACTCAGAGCTGTCCTGCTAGAAAAGAAACTTGTTTATTTTGCTGAGAATTTTCCAAGTCTGGAAAAAGAATGAAAATTCTCCAGAGACAGATTTGATTCCATAAATATTTTATTAAAGTTGAATAAATTAGTCTGATTTTAGAGTTGACATGTTTACTTAAATTTTGAACTAAGACACTTTAAAAGGGGATCATGTGGATAGCAGATATTAATTCTCCACATGCTTCTCTTCACTCAGAGGAAACCTCGTACCCCTTGTCCAATTCTTTCCCTAGGAAGTGACCACTGGTTTGTTGCTGCTGCTGGAGTGTCGGTATAAATTGTATATTCTGAAGTTAAGTCGGAAGTGACATTGTCCTGTATTTCTACTTTGAACAATATATGTAACATATGAAAATCTAGTTTTTCTTATGACATTAAAAAATATTTGCTTGTATATTTTGTTGCCACATCAGTGTCTAAGAAGGGTCTGAAGTGGTGAAAATTCACTTTAACACTACCCATTTCCCTGTTAGATTTTGAAAGCTATCGACAGCACAGAATTTCATATAAAACAACAGGCCTATACTATGCATTCTCACTGTAAAATAAAATTTAAACAACTGAAGAGCAAGTTTATAAGATTCTATTTTGAATTGTTTCAAAATACATTTCTATTAAATGTGCATACATTTGTGTCCTTATATAAGGGAGTTAACATACCTATCTTCATGTTTTTCCATTTTTATTTGGTTTTGATAGGTGTACAGTCCCATTTCCTCATAGGTATCTTGGTTAGCCCATGCTGATTTGCCATTGGCATGAAGTTTTGCAAGATCATTTCGGAGCCTTTCATTCTCATATTCCAGTTTGTTAACAGATGCATGCCTCGAATGTTCCCTGTTAGTAAAATCCATACTCTAGAGAATAAAAAACAAAATCACTGAAAAACTGTTCCTTATAAGTGATGCATATTTTCTGTGTGTTTAGACATGTCTGTTGGAAGGGGTCTTCCACTGGAGTCCAAAGATATAGCTCTACTCCTGTGTACCTCCTAAAGCCCCTTCCCGCTCTCACCTCCTCACGACACAGATACCCAGTGACAGGTACCACTGAACACTTCGCAAGAAAAGCATTGCTTTTTATGGACTAGTGTCCATGCTCACATATGCATTAGCATTCTGTATCCAGAACAGATTGGCTGGATTAAAGAGTTTTCATGTTTATAGGGTATGCCTTCTGGTGTTAATAATGGAACCAGAATTAACATACATTTCAATTTTGAAAGACTTTTTCTCTGATGACAATAACACATGTCATTACAGAAAATCATATACTGATTCTCCACTGTTGGGTGATGCAACAAATTATATACAAAATCCATATAGACTAGAGTCTGCTTCTGGACCATTTTAAAGCAAAGATCTCACAGCTGAGATGGGGCCAGTACCACAGTTTTGAGGAGTGTGGCTCCATGATGAAGTTTTACTATCTGGTATGTGCCACCCAATTTTTAACGTGTCTTAAGAAGAGAATGTGAAACATGTTTAAATCACAAAATGAGTGGTTTAGAGCAAGAACAAAGATTTCTGATGCTTTTTGAATTAAATGCTGTAAGAAGTTTCTTAGGGAGAGTCTAAACTTTTCTTCCCGCAAAGTTTTAAAAAAACAGGATATAGTCTCACAAGAAAACTCATGAAAACGCTTTAAATGAGTCTACATAGTCCTTTCTGGTCCTATGATGTAGGTATCTATGAGTCATGTAGTTGCTGATTCAACAATACTTCTAACAATACGCTTCTAGCACAAAAAGCGTAACATGGATAAAGTATCATTTTTGAAGCTCCAAACTTCTGTGGTTTAAAGCTCATAAGACTATAGATGAAAATGGCTTAGAACTTTTATTTTGAAATTTCTAAATATAAGGCTTTGACATGGAAGACATTTCATGGGCTAGCCACCCCATAAGTCATTACAATTTTTTTTTTGACGGAACTGCACGTTCTAAATTACTCATATACTATCGTATTAGTATCAGGATTGACAAATAAGTGTAGAAATGTATACATATTAGGTATTAAAAATGTTTACCTATTTGTTTTATTTTTTTGCTTCAAAGGCCAAGCCTGCTTACTACATTTTCTGTTTACTGCCTAATGTGTTATAGAAGCTCATGAATCTTTAGAATGAAAGAAAATTCTCCAGGAGGGCAAATTCCCCCAAAACAATACAGAAAGGGTTATGTGTTTATACAGCTATTGATCAAGGTGCCCTTTGGAAAAGAAGGACCTTTCACGGTATTTCTCTGCTTGGTAGGCCCTTGCCTTTAGTATGCCTTCACATTTGCTCATTTGAGATACACCAGTGCAGATAAAAGAGTAATCTGTACTATGCGCTACAGGAGAAAGGATTGTTTATTCTAAAATGAGAGCAGATTTACAATACATATAAAGGAGGTGGTCTTATAAAATTTTGCCCTTCTTAAGGAAAATAACTCATTTGAGCAGATCTGGCCAAGAAAGGTCATGGAAAAGATCCAAAATTTTACTCCTACAAAAAAATCTATTTATCAAAATATATAATTCCTGATGGTCTGCTGCTCAGTTATAACTTTATTTAAGCTTTTTCTATAAAATTAGATTTCATCTGTGATTCTTTTTGGCCCCGTGTTTGGTTTAAAGTAATTAAGAATGAGAGGAATAATTTTTTAAAGACTCCATAATTTTCTACATGCACCATAATTAAGTAAGTGTTGTGAACATGACCTGAAAAAATTACACAGGCGATGTATTTACATGATTTATATTTAAAAGCATATTCTATTTTCCTTGACAACAACATTTTAGGACTTTCTCATTTCATGTTTCTTTTAAATATTGTTCTAGTAATTTCAGGAAATAATCCTCCACTAGATGGTTATCATGTGAAAATAGGCACTAATTAAATTCTATCTCTGTATTTCTGATGGCTTATTTTATAGCCCTGTTATTCCAAATTTTTCCCCCAAATTTTAGGGGTTTGTAGTTTTAACCCATTGCTTCATTCTTGAAACGGCAAAACCTCCTAGTGCCTACGTGCTTTGACATGAGGCCAGTTGAGTTACTGAAGTGTTTGGGTAATAGTACTTTATATGTACAATTTTTCTTTTTAAATTCACGTATATTCAACAATAATAGTCTAACAAAGTATTTCTACAGAAGGACCAGCTTTAACCATGTTTTATGGTTAGTATATTAATTTTTAATATGTAAATGATGGATTAGATACTTGTGAGGGTACTAATTTTTTAGGTTATTATTTTATTTGGCAAACTTTATGGATAGTGAAGGGCAAATCAGTTAAAAATTACCATAAATTCTGAGTTCTGATTAAATCTGATTTTATGATACCTTTCTTAAATGAAGGAAAGTTTACTAAATACACTTATGGGTCTAAGGTAATATGGAATCACAAAAAACTATCATGATAAACTTGATTTTTTCAATAGCTACCCAGGAGGAGAATAAAGGTCAACCCCTCACACTTGTCTCTATGTAATCGTTCTTGCACAAATCCAGGAAAACATCTTTTTCAGAGATACTTCTGTTGCTATTTTAAGCAGCTCATGAGACCTGAGGAGAACTTACATACCAGGTGGTTAGTCTCATCAGTGGATTCTGCCGAGGAAAATGCGAGCTGCCACAGCCCCAAGCATGCAGCCGGTAATAACCGAGTGCAGGACCCACTCTTACTCCTACCTCTGGGAGAGGGCCTTTTTAAAACTTTCTTTCCCTAAGTGTGAGTAAGCAGGGTGCTTCACAGTTAGTCAAGCAGAAAATTCACGAAGTTCTAGTGATTTTGAAATGCCTACCTTAATATCAGTTATTTCACTTGTCTAGAAAGGAAAAACAAATAATTATTGTTTGAATATTATCCAAATACCACATATTTCAGAAAACCTAAAAATAATGATGTAAATATTTTGTTTCTTATTGCTTGAGGTAAAATTTCAGTGCCCATTCTTTAATTCTATGTTTATTTATCCAATTATTTCAGAAAGAATTAACTATCTCATGGGATTTTAACACATAACAGATAGGAGTTTTCTTTAATGTGAAATCTTTCAAATAATGAATGCTAGATAAGTCACATAATAGACTGCATACTCTTTTTTTTTTTTAAAGATTTTAAGGTTCCTCCCTGACTTTTCTTTTTTTTTTTTTTAAGATTTATTTATTTATTTATTTGACAGAGAAAGACACAGCGAGAGAGGGAACACAAACAGTGCGAATGGGAGAGGGTTCAGAAGCAGGCTTCCCGCCGAGCAGGGAGCCCGATGCAGGGCTCGATCCCAGGACCTGGAATCATGACTTGAGCCAAAGGCAGATGCTTAACGACTGAGCCACCCAGGCGCCCCTAGACTGCATACTCTTAAAGAACAACGAGTTATATTTGCTCTTTTTTTAATTCAGTAGACACTTGAGATCTTTCACTTTGGGGAATGGCTTGACTATTTTAATTATCAAAGTCAATGCCAAAACTTCACATACAAAAAATAAAAGGGAGCAATTATAAAGTCAACTATCTATATGAATTACAATCCTACATAAAGTGTATGTGATTAAATACTATTTTAATAAGGCATCACACTGAGGGCCATTCATCAGTGGCATACCATTTTATGATATCCAATTAACCAATTTTTAAACAAATACATACTGTACATACATATATATATGTGCTGAGTGCTACAGAGGTGATCAAGTATGAAAAAGTGACCCTACCTTCATGGAAAATACAATAAAACTGAGTGGACAAAATTAACATGTATGAAAAAAATAGTGACTCATATAAAGTGTAATTATGTATTAAATTATGTTACACCAAGTAGAACTCAAATGTTTTCTGAATCAATGAATGGCGACAACTACTGGACTAAGATCATGTAGGAGGTGAGATAAAACAAGGCTCTGGCAATCTCCTTAATGACGTGAGCAATAATTTCCATGAAAATTTATTCATGCCTCTTACACTACAGGTGAGACCCATAAACCCACAAGTATTCATCGAGCCCTACCCTATACCAAACCCTGTATGAAGAAGTATAAAATATAGTACACTTCTTCCCTCAAGGAGTCTATGACTGATGAGACAAGACATACAAAAACAATTAAAAAATAAAAGAAGACAATTCAAAACTTGATGCTAAATTGTTATACCTGTTAAAGAAAGTCAAAGAAAGAAGAAGTAAATGGAGCCTAGAGTAATTGAAGATGAATTCATGGAAGAGATATAATTTAATTTAGGTCTGAAGGGACTGGTAGGATTTAGTAAAGTACAACTATGTCTTTACTTTGGTAAAAGAAAGGAAAGCATTCAGGTGGAGGGCATATAATGGATTCATTCACTCATTCCCTCACTCACTCACTCATTGATTTGTTCATTCACTAATCTAACAAAATATTTTTTCACTGCCTCCTGCATTCAGGCATTGTACTAAGTGCTTGGGTACAATGGTAAACTAGGACCATAACTGCCCTCAATGAGCCTACTGGGTAGGGGTTGGGTAGCTGACAAGAAATAGGCAATTTTACCATTGTACTATGATAGATGTTAAGTAAAGGATGTTATGATGGTTTCAAGGACAGACACTTAACAGAGCAGAGGAAAATCAAAGAAGATTTTGTATGACATGTAAAATTTATGCTGAGTTACCTGAAACATTAATAGGGCATGGCTACGTGAAGTAGGAAAAGGGAATTTTTAGCTAGAAGGAAAGCACGTGTGAAGGCCTGGAAGCAAGAAAGGGCATGAGAAAGGACTATCACATATGCAGGTAAGGCTAAGACAGGCCTAGCTCTAGCAGAGGATTTGTGTAAGTCACTAAAGGGAAACAAAGTGGGAGAGCCAGATTAAGGAAGCAATGGAATATGAAGAGTTCTGACTTCCTATTGGAAACTGAGCACATGTTCTTGAAAGGAAGGATAACACAAGGAAAGATTATGTTAGAAAAGCATGTCGTGTATGAGAAGTGGAGAGAGCTTGGAAGCCACTGGGTAAAGCAGAGGAAGTAACTTGGAGTCGTTGATGGATCTAGCCTCTAAGGAGAAGCAAAAGCCAACAGCAACATTTGGGGAACGAGTAGAGGCAGGAACAGGAGGGTGGGGAGCCAGTGAATAAAACGGAAGAAACAGAGAGAACCACAGGGTTTTATAACAGTTAGTATCATGCATTTAGAGTTATTCAAACCAACTTACAACCTATGTGATCTTGGATAAAAACTTGCCTAAAAACCTAAAGATTTCATTCCTTTTTCTGTGAAATGAGATTGTCACAGCCAACCACCATATACTTGTTATAGGGATATAGACAGACACTGATATATGTAAAGCATTCAGCAGATTATAAGGCATGTATGTGATAAACACTCAATGAATGAGTAGCAGCTCTTTGTTATTACACGGTTCTCCCAGTTTCCCTCTTTCTCATCTTTGGTCTTTGTACATTCTATTCTCTCACCATGACTCTTTCCCACCAATCCGTCTGGTTGACTGCTCCCCAGATGCCTTTTATTGCTCCCAAGACAGGGTTAGGTAACCCCTATCAGGGTCCCTGAATTCTGAGCCTTCCTATCACTCTCTAGTGTAATTATCCAGGTAACTGTCTGTATCTGGTAATATATGGTCTCCTTCTACTAATATTAAGTTTCACGAATTCAAGGATCTTGTCTGACTTATTCACAACACTCGCATACTGCCAGATACACAGTAGGCATATTCAATAAATATTTACAGAATGAGTGAATGAATGAATGAATGACTGAATGAAAACATTCTGTGGTGACTGTGGCATGCAATAGATAGAGAACCGAATAGAGAGCCCAGAAATAAACCCACACAGTATGGTCAACTAATCTTTAATAAAAGCATCAAGAACACACAGTAGGGAAAGGACAGTCTCTTCAATAAATGTTGGGAAACTGGATATTCACAGGTGAAAGAATGACACTGGACCTCTATCTTCTACCACTCACAAAAAAATTAACTTGAAATAGATTAAAAACTTACATATCAGACCTGAAACTGTGAAACTAGAAGAAGACAGATGGGCAACAGACACTTGATATTGGTTCTGGCAATGATTTGTTGCGTATGACACCAAAGCACAGGCAACAAAAGCAAAAATAGACAAGTGGGCCTACATCAAACTAAAAAGGTTCTCGCACAACAAAAGAAACAATCAAGAGAGTGAAGAGGCAACCTACAGAAGGGGAGAAGGTATTTTATTTACAAATTATATAGAAAGTATTGAAAACATTATCACATAGAATCCAGGAATATGTCAAAATTGTTAAAGTAAGACTGGGGTTGAATTTTGTCCCCCCACCAAAAAGAAGATAATGTTTAAGTCCTAACTCCTAGTACCTCAGGACGTGGCCTTATTTGGAAAAAGGATCTTTACGTAGGCAATCGAGTGAAAGTGAGGTCACTAGGGTGGGCCCTAATCCAGTACGACAGGTATTCTACAAATATCAGGGGAAATCTGGACACAGAGAAGGACACGCATGGAGGGAAGACAATATGGAGAAACAGAGAAAGGCCATGTGAAGACAGATCCAAGGAGGATGCCTTGTGAAGACAGAGGACAGGAATGATGTACCTCTAAGCCACGGACTGCCAAAGATTGCTGGCAAATCACTAGAAGCTATCAAGAGGTGAGGAAGAACCATCCTCTACAGGTTTCAGAGGCAGCGTGGCCCTATTGACACCTCGATTTGGGGCTTCTATTTCCAGAACTGTATGACAAGAAGTTTCTCTTGTTCTAAGTTACCTGGTTTGTGGTACTTTGTTATGGCAGCCAAAGCAAATGAATACAATGACCAAGAAGGTTTATTCCAAAAATTCAGCGATGGGTCAGTATCAGGAAATGTGTCAACCATAGTCTATTATACGCCAACAAATCAACAGACAACCCCATGGTGTCATCTACGCTGAAAAGGTATTTGATAAAAGCCAGCAGCAAATCTTAAAAACTCTGAGTAAACTAGGAATAAAAGAATTAAAGAATTAATTAAAAGAATAAAAAGAATTAAGACCATAACCCAAGAACAAGTATTATCTAAACAGTAAAACTTTAAAACAATTTCATCTAAAGTCAGAAATTAGTTTTGTCAGCAATCACTATTATTATTTCATATTCTCTTGGTTTTAGCAAATGCAGTATGGCAAAATAACTGATATGAACAGTAGAAAAGAAGAGTTGAAGTTATCTATTTTTGTTAAAGTGATTGTATATCTCAAAAAACCCTAAGAACCCCTAGTAAAATGCCCACTAGAATTAAAAGACAGTCTGGCTTTTTTACTGTATTAGCAACAAGTTCTTATATGGAAAGAGGAAAATATCCCACTTACAACAGTGATAAGAATTATAAAACACCTAAGCATAAATTCTAAAAGGAAGGTACAGAACCTATACAAAGAAAATTGTAAGATTTTATTGAAGAGCATAAACTGAGATATGAAGAAATGGGAAGCCACGTCATATTCTTGGATTGAGAAAACTTACTATTATAAAAGTGTCAATTCTTTTTATTTTTTAAGATTTTATTTATTTGTCACAGAGAGAGAGAAAAAGTGAGAGACAGCAAGCCCAAGCAGGGGGAGCGGCAGGCAGAGGGAGAGGCAGGCTCCCCACTGAGCAGGGAACCCGATGTGGGTTCAGGACCCCGGCATCATGACCTGAGCCGAAGGCAAACGCTTAACCCAATGAGCCACCCAAGCGTCCCAAAAGTGTCAATTCTTTTAAAGTTATATGTAAACTTATTTTGATTCCAAATAAAACCCAACAGGAAATTATCTGGAAAAACTGGATAAACTGAACTTAACTTTCACATAAAAATTAAATTGGGTTCTTGTTTTATATCATATGTAAAATTATAATTCAAATGGATTAAAGACTTAGATGAAAAAATGTAAAAGTCATTGAAGACACTCTAACAAACAGTGTATACTGTCAAGAAGTTGGAAAAACCATGTCATTCCAGGAAGAAAATTCAGAAACTGTAAACAAAAAGATACATGTGTCTGACAGATAAAAGTTTTTTTTTAAGGTTTTATTTATTTATTTGACAGAGAGAGAGAGAGCACAAGCAGGGGGAATACCAGGTAGAAGCAGCGGGAGAAGCAGGTTCCCCACCAAGCAGGGAGCCTGATGCAGGACTCGACCCCAGGACCCCGAGATCATGACCTGAGCCAAAGGCAGACGTTTAAACAACTGAGCGACACAGGTGCCTTGACAAATAAAAGTTGAAAACTTTTTGTATGGTAAAAAGATCTAATTAAAATTATAGACAATAAATTTAGGAAATTGCTGTTGTAAATTGACAAGAAAAAAACATCCTAATAGAAAAATGAGCAAAGAATATAATTCATAGTCCACTGCCAATAAATATACAAAAATAATCTCACTGTAGCCAGGGAAGTAGAAATTAAAGTACTACTGAGAAATCACTTTACACCCATCAGACTGACAAAAATTTAAAAGAGTAATAAAACCTCTTGCTGCTAAGGAGGAAAGAAAAAGGTGTGCACATAACGAGATGGGAGAAATATGATTTGACAACAAATGTTTTAAAATTAAAGCATTCAGGGGCACCTGGGTGGTGCAGTTGGTTAAGCATCCGATTCTCAGTTTTGGCTCTGTTGTGATCTTGGTCATGGGATCAAGCCTCACAACGGGCTCCACACTCAGCACGGAGTCTGCTTCAGATTCTCTCTCCCTCTGCCCCTCCTGCCTGTGTGCTCTCTCCAATAAATAAATCTTTAAAAAAAAAGCATATGTTTCTATTCAGCAATTCCTTTTTTTTTTCTTTTTATAAGGGAGAGAGAGGGTAGGTGGGCAGAGGGAGAGAATCTTAAGCAGGCTCCATGCCCAGCGCAGATCCTGGGGCTCAATCTCAAGACCCTGAGATCATGACCTGAGCCAAAATCAAGAGTTGGACGCTTAACCGACTGAGCCACCTAGATGCCCCCAGCAATTCCATTCTTAGGAAGCTGTTCCAAGATATATGTATGAGGGTGTTTTTTACAGTATTGTTTATTTGTGCAAAAATCTAGAAAGAGTTGAATTAATTTGAAATGAATTGGTTCTGAAAAACCGTTGAATAAATTTTGATACACTCACATCATGTGTTATTATTAAGCCATTATACAAAATGAAATAGACCTAAACCAGTTGCTTTGTAAGGATTTGCAAAGGATATTGCTGAGTGAACAAAAATAAGACACAGAAAAGTGTGTATAATGTAAATCCAATTTTTTAAAAAAGTAAAACCCCAAAATAGGTATATGACTACATACCTATATGTATATATATTCACACACATACACACACACACACGTGAGTTCATAGATATGAAAAAGCACAAAATGATACATACTGAAGAGTTAACCTGTGTTATCCGGTGCATGGGGTCTGAGGTGGGTGGAGAAACAGAGCAAAGGAGAAGGGGAAAAGCAAGAAAAAAGAGACTGCATGAAAATCACTAGTGTGATGCAATTTATTAAAAATTCTATATATTCTACATGAGTATATATTGATTTTCCTAAGAAATGAAGGAAAAAAAGATGTTTTCCTCCTGTCTTCTAGAGATGTCCATGATATATAGTTAAAAAGCAGTTGAGAATAATGTACTTATTATACACTTATTTCCATAAAGGGACACTCAGCTCATCCCTTCTAGATGTGTGCACGAGCCAGAAAAAAGTTATAGAAGGCTACACACTGGTTTGTTAGCACTGGATTATCTCTGGAGTCCAACCTGGGATTGGAGATAGCAGTGGGATAATTAGCTTCTTCTTTACATATCTTTATGTGTTTTATTTCTTGAAAAAAACAAATCAATGAAGAAAGCCAAATGCCTATCCAAGCCAGTGTGAAGCAGGCTGTGTGGGCTGTGATGACGCAGAATTCACACCGAAAAACATTTAGTTTGAAATAAAAAGAAAAATAACACAAAAACCATTTTGTGAGAGGGAAAAAAAAGATACTCATGGGGGCAGGACCCAATTTAAATTTTTGTGTGTCAAGCATTTAGAAATAAGAGTCCTAAATGTCACACAGATTTTATGTAACAGATAGGGAAACCATATATACTTTCCTTTTTATCCAACTGTCCTCCGATCACAGAATCTGTCATCGGGGCCAAAGAAGGCAGAATGCTTGAAGAATGCTTCTAACTCTCTGATACTAGAACACTTACCATTATGGGAACGAGAACCTACTCTCACAGAAATACAGCATCATGGAGAACCCCTACTCCAACTTCCTCACGTCATAGCTGAGGAAACTGAAGTGACCACCCATGTTCATCTTTTATCTTCTCCATTTTCTCAGTGGCAGGAACATTATTTTATTTTAGAATTTTCTCTCAGAGCAAATAAATGCTAAACAAGTAACAATGGTATTTCCTTAGTTTGATAAATAAAAGTTCTCCTATTTACATATAAAAACCCACCTTCAAGGGCTATATTGAATAAGGGAAATGAAAGGCACAGAGCCTGTTTTAGCTGCCCTGTGTTAATCTATAGAGCCACTGGTTCAAACCACAAAGTCAATCCTCAGTCATTCATTTGTTCATCCTCCCTTATATTCAATCAACATCCAGTGAACACTTACTATACCCCTGACATTTCGAGGTGCTGGTGCAACAGACAGGAATAAAACATGGTCCCTGTTCACCATCCAGTCGGGAAGTGACAGGCTACCAAACAAATGAGACCAAAATACAGACCAAGTGTGGATGGACCAATTCACTCTGCCTGGGGTTTCAGGGGTGGCTTCATCAAGGGTAAGGCTGACATGTGAGTCAGGCCATGTAGGATGGAGGATTTCAGAGATAACAGCAGGAGCAAAAGCAAGCAAGTAGCATGTTGGAGGAAACGATCAGAATTTAGCCCAATCCAAGAAAAGAGCAAAGGAGAAAACTCGAAATTCAAATGTTCCAGCCTGAGGATAAAAATTAAGTTCAATCCAAGTGCAAGATACTTTGCCGCCCAACCCCTCCCTGCCTGACACAGGAAATGCTTAGTAAATAAGGTCTGCGTAACTCCTGACTAACTCTGTAATCTCTCAGTTCCATTTACTGAATGATTTCAGCGTTATTACCATGTACCGTCCGGGGTCTAAATCTCCCATCATTCCTTTCAGGTGTGTGTTTTCCGTTTGGACAGCTTTATATCTCATATCTGAGACCTGAAAGCAGATCGGTAGGTAAAAGTGAATGTAAAATACGTAATAAAAGCTCATAATTGTATTAAAATTAATTTTATTAACCTAAATGTTTTTTTTAAAGATTTTATTTACTTATTCATAAGAGAGAGACAGGCAGAGGGAGAAGCAGGCTCCCCGCTGAGCAGGGAGCCCGATGCGGGACGCGATCCCAGGACTCTGGGATCATGACCTGAGCCAAAGGCAGATGCTTAACGACTGAGCCACCTAGGTGCCCTAACCTAAATGTTTTCTAAGTGTAGTGAAGAGAAACACTGATTAGGCATGGTCATCCTAAATCAGTATTTGCATTCAGTTCTCTCTTTGGCAGCCCTCACTTAACCCTCCTTTCCTGATCAGTGCTAAATTAAAAACACATACCAACAATAACGACTCATTTACTTTTTTTTCAATTCTAAAATTCCATTTCTCACTTCTATTTTCTACTGTATGCAAATAAGCACCAGAAAAATCACAATTTATTTTTATTTTTTAAAGATTTTATTTATTTATTTGACAGACAGAAACACAGTGAGAGACGGAACACAAGCAGGGGGAGTGGGAGAGGGAGAAGCAGGCTTCCCGCTGAGCAGGGAGCCCCATGTGGGGCTCGATCCCAGGACCCTGGGATCATGACCTGAGCCGAGGGCAGACGCTTAACGACTGAGCCACCCAGGCGCCCCGAGAAATCACAATTAAAAAAAAAAAAACGCTCCAATAACACTGCCCATGGAGTTCTTCACTACCTAATTTTACAATATGCAAATGTAACTTTTATATTTAATTTTGTTCTAATATGTCTGCCAAACTACCCTCTTTCTTTTTGGTGACTATTTCATTTCTTCTAGTGTATTTATTTTTCCCTGATTTCTTCTACTTGACAGTACTTAGACATAGTATCTGCTCTTTTATCATATAGGCCTCATTTCTATATAAAACACTTCCCTTGAAATGATTTACTTTCATAGATTACAAAACATATCCTCCTTTTTTTTAAAAGATTTTATTTATTATTTCTTTGACAGAGAGAGAGACAGCGAGAGAGAGAGAACACAAGCAGTGGGTAGTGAGAGAGGGAGAAGCAGGCTTCCCGCTGAGCAGGGAGCCCGATGCGGGGCTCGATCCCAGGACCCTGGGACCATGACCTGAGCCGAAGGCAGACGCCCAACCGACTGAGCCACCCAGGCACCCCAAAATATATTCTCCTTAACAAAAATCTAAAAACATAGAAAAGTATAAAGGTGAAAATAAGAAGCATCCGTAATCCAACTACCCAGATCACTGCTAACACCTCTCAGTATCTTTTCCTAGAGGCACCTAGTGGCTTGGTCATTAAGTGTCTGCCTTCAGCTCAGGTCATGACCCCAGGGTCCTGGGAGGGAGCCCTGCATTGGGCTCCCTGCTCTGCAGGAAGCCTGCCTCTCCCTCTCCCACTCCCCCTGCTTGTGTCCCCTCTCTTGCTGTCTCTCTGTCAAATAAATAATAAATAAAAATTTTTAAAAAAATATCTTTTCCTCTACAGGTACAGCCTATGCTATTATCCCACCTATGCTGTGCTCCTCTGTACTGTACAAATTAATCACAGTTTAAGGTTTATAATTGGACAAAGGTTGACTCTCGTTTTTATAATAGACAGGATTTAAATAGCCATCTTTTTGGTGAAGTGACCCTCAAATGCTTATAGTTATGGAATGGTGCTCTCAAAGCCTCTCGATTTGGAGTAAAAAAAAAACAAACAAACAGATAACCCCTATGCTTTTAATAACAGGTCACCAATTTGATGATGAGTAAGGGATTGAGGGAATTTCAAAAGAAATAGGAAGAAAGGAAGGGAGGGAGGAGGAAAAAAGGAAGGGAGGGAGGACTTTGAAGTTACTTGCAGGATTTTAACAGTAGAATGGTATAATTACTGTTTTTTTTAACCATGAACCATGCTGTGCATTGAATCAATGTTCAGTAAATACGGACTAATTTTCATGTTTCAACATCCTTTTTTAAAACCCCAAGATATGGGGCGCCTGGGTGGCTCAGTCGGTTAAGCGTCTGCTTTCTGCTCAGGTCATGATCCTGGAGTCTTGGGATGGAGCCCCACATCAGGTTCCTTGCTCAGTGGGGAGCCTGCTTCTCCCTCTGCCCCTCAACCCGCTCTCATGCTCTCTCTCTCAAATAAATAAATAAAATCTTAAAAAAAATCCCAAAATAAATACATAAAATAGGGGTGAGAAGTATCCACAAAAAGCTGGAATAGAGGCTTTTTTTTTTAAGACAAAAATATTAATGGAACTACAGGACACAAATTCAGGAAGAAATCTTTGACTAGAGCATGCTGTGGGAGGTGATCAAAATATGGGTCACAAGGAAATGTTAGGATGAGATTTAATGCAATTATTTTGTGTCGTCACTTTTGCCCTCTTTCTGTTTTGATGACACTTTGCATATTTTGTAAAGGCTTTATGTGGCTCCAGCAAGCATTTCTGTGAGGCTAGTTTCAGACACAACACCGAGAAATGCAGTGCTTTGCTGGTCATCGAGGAAAACCACGGTCTGCACTGGGCAAGACAGTGACCCGGACAAGGGCTGTCCTGCCTGCTTGCGTACCTGCTGTTTTGCTAACATTTTTTCTTTTATTTCTAACTCCATTTTTAACTGTCTTTCCAGAAGGGCAGCTTTCTTCATGATAGTTGCTATAGTGATTTCCTTCTGATGAAGCTCCTCTGTTAGGTCAGAGATTTCGTTCCTCATTCTTTCCTGCTCAGAGCCATGGTACTCTTCCTCCTGATAGAGTTGGCTTCTTATCTGCAGCAGAGACATTCCGGCAAATATTAACAAATCTTTTTACTTATCAAGCAGCTTAAAGCTTGTGTTCAGTCTTCCTATCCTATGTTAAATCTTTGGCAGGCCCCTCTTTACCCTCCTTTTCTGATCAATGCTGAATTAAAAACAGATACTTACAATAAGTGACTCATTTAACTTTTTTCCTTTCAAATTCAAAATTCCATTTCTCACTTCTATTTTCTATTGGATGCAAATCATCATTTACTACTGATGCTACTTTGATAACTACTTTGACAGGAAGGTGAAGAAAATATTATCAAGCACTTACCTCCCAGCATAACTGAGGGATACTTAGGATACAAAAACTGCACGTAATTATCGTAGACAGTTTGGTGAATTTGGACATACACTCATGTTACTGTCACCACAATCAATATAATAAGCATACCCATTACCTCCAGAAGTTTGTGTTCCCTTTTTTGCTTTAAATTTTTTTGTGTGGTAAGAACACTTAGCATGGGATCTACCCTCTTAAAATTTTAAGTGCATAATTCCTTACTGTCAACTATAGACACTGTTCTAGAACTTTATACCTGTCAAACGACCACTGCAGAATGTGTGGTGGAAGAGCCTTAAACCCACTACCCAGAGGCGGACGGACCAAGCATGTTTTTAGGGAGATAAAACTGGCCTAGAAAGGTTAAGTGATTTGCTCAGGTCATAAAGCTATTAACTGGCAGAGGCTGGGACTAGAACCTAGGACTCTTAGCTTTAAATTCAGTGCCTTTTTGACTAAATTGTATGTACTGTTTATGACTAAACACTATGTTTTTCAGTATCATGTTGTAATAAATTTCAAACTTAATGTGTGTCTGAAAATGCATCACCTCCCACCCCTTAAGCCTGTGGAGTCTCTTGTTCTTAACCAGGTTAGGCCTCCCCTGTCAGCAGCCTCTGGATCACCTTGGGCCCCTCTCTACCCTTGTCATGCCAAATGCAGTCAGGCAGCAAATTCTGTCCCTTGCACTTCAACTTCTTCTAAATCTCTCCTGTGCTCTCCATTTCTATTACTACTGTCTTGGTCCAGCCTCTTACCACATTTCTAGAAATCATTCACCGTCTCTAATTCTTGAGATTTGGAGATAAAGTAAACAGTCAGCAATCTCAAGAAAATCATAGTCCATTGGGGGAAACAAAAATCAACAGTTACAACACAAGAGTAGCAATCAACATCAGTGGTATGTGGTGGAGGGTGCTTAACCCAGCCTGGGGATGTCAGGATGGGCTTCCCGGGAGGTGGGGGACCATCAGACAAATACTGAAGGATGAATGGAAGCCAGATGGAAGGCAGGGATGGAGAAGGACCCAGGGTAAAGAGTGTAGGGAAGACTCTGGGGGCGAGAGAACGCACGCCCAGCGAAGCAAGACGAGTCTCGGGTGGCCAGGGCTCGGTGTGTTGTGAGAAATAAGGTTGGAGAGTTTAATGGAGCCCATCCACAAAGAGATTTATATGAATTTCCCCAGGGCACTTACTTCTACAATTGATTTTTTTTCATTTCATCTTTAAAGATTTCAGGATTTATCTGTAAAAGAATAAGGGCACTCTTTCTTTTTTTAACATAGCCAGAATACCAATATAAGATCTTAAAAATATTAGCAATTCCTCAATATCATCAAATATCCAGGAAGTATTCAAATTTAAAAATGTATCAGGACTATAATGAATGATTTTGTTTATCTGAATTGGGATCTAAATATGGGGACTGGCTCATATCTTTATAAAGCCCCTCTTTTGTGTGTGTTTGTGTGTGTTCTACGTAGTCTACATACATCATCTCATTTAATCCCTGCAACTGTTCTCTTCTTTGCGGAATGAGAAGTTAAGTACATAACTTTTCACAGTCACATTCCTGGTGATAGGCAGTCTGATTCCAAGCCCTTACCCACCGTGCTATTAACCCCTATGAGCCGAACCCTGGAAGGTTGTTCACACAGTGGAAAAAGCTAGCGTGGGATGACCTAATGTGGAAAGGATGCATGTCCAGAAGGAAAACCTGATTTGTCCTCAGCTCTATACCACAACCCCTCAGGTGATTCTATTCCTGTTATTAATATTTTTGGAGTTTCAGAGTTGGGGGGGCGCCTGGGTGACTCAGTCGGTTAAGCATCTGACTTGATTTTGACTCAGGTCATGATATCAGGGTCTTGAGATCGAGCCCCATGTTAGGCTCTGCACTGGGCATGGAGCCTGCTTAAGATTCTCTTTCTCCCTCTCCCCCTGCCCCTTTAAAAAAAAAAGTTTCAGAGTTGGACATGACCTTAGGGGTCTCATAGTCCAACACCAACCCCATCACTGAACAGATGAGAGAGAGAGAGAGAGAGAGAGAGAGAAAAAAAAAAGACTCCCAGAGAAGGGAATGGACTGGGCCCAAGTTATCCAGCTCCTAAGAGCAAAAGAGAAGACTGGGAGAGAGGAGTACAAATATCCTCACCCTGAGGACAGTGTTACAAGTCTCCTTTCATCTCCAGTCTTCTCTCTCTCATTTTTTTCTTTACAATTTATTTGATGAAACAACAGCGTTCTTCTGTGGTTTGTCCCAGTTTGGATTTTGCTGATTGCATCCCTGTTGTGTAGTTAACATGTTCCCTTAAAATGGAACTTTCAAAATGTAAAGAAAATGAATATACTATTATGAAAAAGGAGTAAACTGTTTTTATTATTTTCGGAGCATTTAGATATTAAAACAACACACTCTACTGCAAAGCTTCCCTCTAAATGAGATTAATTTATCGAGCTCTAAATGACTTTTGGCTTTATTAAAAATGCCAATTTTATCATGAAGTACATAACAAAAATAGTTCTACACTGAAAAAGAGAAAAAAATAAAACACTTGCAAGATTCCTAATACATGGTTCTTGTTGCTTTTATTACAAGAGAACGAAAATACTCTCCACAAACACTTCCTGGGAGCTAAAGCTATTTATATACAATTCATTTGTTACCTTTTCTGCACAGCAGTGCATTACCTAGAGGTCTCTAAGAGCCTATGAAGAGAATTTGTGTCTAGTATTCTCTCCTTCCATATTGAAACTGTGCGATGTCAGTAGATTCCTTATTATTCAAAGTGTTACTGAGTCTATGAGGTTAAGAATGGTGCGCTCTCTCTCTCATTCTCTCTCTCAAATAAATAAAATCTTAAAAAAAAAAAGAATTGTGTAACTATACTTTAGGTGGCTTTAATCAACCTTTGTATCATAATGCCTTTATTGGGGATACCAGCAAAGAAACAGTTTTTTAAAGTTATATGTTTAAATAGCAGTGAAATCATTTTCATGGGATCATGTGAAAAACAAAAGGAAAATGATCATTAATTCATAACAACTTTTCTACACTTAATTTAAAGCTACTTGACAGTCAACTCTGTGGGAGACAGGATTTGTCTTTTGCATCACTGCATTTCCTACAGAAACAAGCAGAATAGCCGTAGTCCTAATATATGCTCAATAAATATATGCTGACTTTATACAAACGGCCACTGAATTTATGAGCCGATACAATTATGGGAGACCTTCACCTTGATATTGACTCATTTGTTCTCCAAATACTTATTTTCACTTTTGTATGTCAGACGCTGTGCTGGGATAGGTGATGATTGGAAGCCATGCCCAGGTTTTCCCTACTTTTAACAATGGTTTAGATCATATAACATTGAATATTTAGGTGTGATCCTCAAACCTAAAGACCAGAGACGTGGGTAGTAGCCATGGTGAGCTCGTGGAAAGGAAGCCCCTACTGGATTTTGCTAGAGGGAGAAGAGAATATACTTTTTGTAGAGAGTTGAAAACCGTAGTTTTTCTAGGACAGGGCCCAGGTTTATTCATCCTTGTGTTCCTAGGTCCTGGCAGATTACGTGGCACGGGTTAGGTGCTCAGTGACAAAAGGTAACCAAAAACAGTAGCAGCCTTCACTCACTAGGCGCCTCCTCTGAGCTAGGCAGGCCCTGTTCTAAGCTCTTTACATGTGTTTTTTAAATGGATTTTAACTTAAGGGAAGAGTATGAGCTCTGGAGTCAGGTTGCCTGGATCTGAACCTGACCTCTGCTGCCCGGTAGCTGTGTAATATTGGGGGAAATTACCCAACTTCTCTGTGCCTCAATGTCCTCAAATGTAAAAAAAAAGATAATATTAGTACCTACCTTATAAAGTGGTTGTGAGGAATCAATGAGCTGAGATTTGTTAGGCCCTCAGAGAGCCCCTCCTGGCCCATGGGGAGTGTTATTTAAGTAGCAGGGTTATTGGTATCCCCTTTAAGCCTCATCACAGTTGTATGAGGCAAGTGCTAAGGATCCCACCCCCATCCTAGAAATGAGGAGTCTGAGCAACTTGCACAGGCAACTTCCCCGAGCTTAGGTACCTCCTAGACGGTTGGAGGCCTGAGTCTGGGCTCTCATACTTCTCGCCGTAAGGTACTTGCAGTGAAGCCAGAGTCTCCCAATGGCACAATGAAGACCTAAGGTTTGTGTTTGTTACAGCATCACGCAGAAAAATGTCAGAATTAGCAGCCTGGTAGGTTATTATCTTAGGGGAAAATACAGAAGGGAAAAGAAGGGAATGAGAAGGAAGGTTTTTTCCCCCTTTTGTGTTCAGGGACTCCAGATCTGCCTGGAAGAATGAAGCCCATTATTTTCCATACCTTGTTCAATTCTTTTTCATGATTTGGTTGATCTAGGGTCACTGAAAACAGCTCTTTCCTTTTCCTTTCTGGTTCTTTAGTAGAAGGTGAATAAGATGATTCAAGTCTACAAATTAAATAATGTGAATAAAAATTAACCTTAACTTGGTAAACTCTCATGATTATATTGTTAATTTACACTATTGTAGGTTGCAGAGATAGATTATTACTTTATTGGAAACATTTGTAGTTCCAGATTGCAAATTCTAATACATTCAGATCCCCTAAGTAGTTACATGTTTAACTGAGTGCAAACGGTTTGAGTGAAAAACAAAAGGTAGCAATTAATATGGAATTTCAATTATGTCTTGAAAATTGGCAGAATACTGGGTTTGCATATGTAGATAAGATTTTTATATAAGACTGTTTCTTATAATAAGATAGCTTGGGAACCCCTTAAAAAAAAAAGGAAACACATCTAACTTGCTTGTGCATCATGGAAAGGAACCATGTCAGGAGAAGTCTGAGGGGAGCAACTACTCCATAAAAGTGACCCAAAGTGACTAAATCTGACAGTCTACCCAGAGAAAGCTCAAATACATCTGTTCTTTGGCTGCTTAATTTATAAAATGGAATTGCCAGCACATATGGATACCAGAGGGGAAAAGCAGAAACTAGTATAAAAGGTACAATTTCTATAGGAAGTTTGGAGAAGTACAAGCAGGTTCACTTCTAGATCAGGAAAGCTGATAAATGAAAAATCATTAAAACAGAAAATAAAGATAGCCAGGCAAGGACAGTAGCATGCTGTCAAGCATTCTATTGCTTGACTAATCTGGTCAAGTCTGGCGTTTTGAGGAATGTGTCTACCTGTAAGTGAATACAAGTTCAGATTTCCAAAGAACTTTTTAAAAGGTTCCATAAATCACAAACTTAAACCACACAAAACAAAATCTGAGCAATGATAGAGAAATAACTGATGTAAACATTGAAAATAAAGGGATCTTTTAAAAGGTGTAAATTTATAGTGATATCTCGAGGTACTTGTATCTAGACCGGGTGGCCTTTCTTCTGATTATCAAATATATGTGTTAACTGTAGAAAACAGAGTGTATCAGAGTATATGCTGCTATAATGTTATCATCGAGGAAAAAGCATTGTTGGCACTTTTGTGTATATTAATTGTCTTTTTTTCTATGTATGTGTGTATAAATACATACATGTTTTCTATACAGTTAGAATGTACAGCACACATTATTTTTCAGCCCGCTTTTGTTTCCTATTCAGTAATATAGTGTGAGCATTGTATCCAATATTCTCCTCCAACATTATTTCAGAATCAGTCTTAAATTTTTCTTATTTGCTTTTATTTGAAAGGGGTGAAAAATGACATTTCCTATTTTTCAATTCTTCCTAAGCAATTTCAGGGAGTGGAATGCTGAACTGATTGGGAAAAAACAAAACAACAACAACAACAAAAAAACAACCTCATGATTGTCTCATAAATTTCACTGAGCGACTGGAACAAATGTCAAACATCAATGTGGACAAGTTCAAAGGAGAAAACAATAATTATGCTAATATAACATGCTAATAATAATATATAAAGGAATTATCATTTGTCATGTAGGAAAGGAGTTTTGGAATTATTTTTAGTAACTCTCAGAACGTATCAGCCCAAGGTGCTTCTGTAGCTAAAGAAAAAGGAAAAGGAAAAGCTAACAAAATCTTAGCATTATTGAGAAAGGTTCTGAAAATGAATAAAAGCATTACTATGCTACGTGTATAAAACTGCACTTAGGAGCCTGGGCTACTTCACCTTAATACAACTGGAAAGAAGAAACAGAGTCCAAAGGAAAGAAATCCAACCAGTAAAGAGGCTAGAATCACCTTCATATGAGAACAAACCAAAAGGATGAGAAACTTTCAATGGGAAAGAAGAAGGCTAAGAAGACTAGGCCCAAAGTCTGAAATACAATGGAAGCTATGAAATGATAAATTATCTGTCTTTCCATCAAATAAGAAAACTACAGTTTGGAGACCAAAACAGACACCAACTTAAATAAAGAATGGCATTAGGCACAACAACAGAATTGTATTGGCCAAAAATGTGAATAACTGTGAGATTTTAGATGAAGTCATGTCTTGAAGGAAAGTTGGCAAGGTCTGGAATTTAGCACTGGCCTTGTGAGACAGATCCACAGAAAGTACTACAATGCTCTTCCATAAAACCACAGCTACACATGGCGTGAAAGGTTTGCTTTTCTAGGATATTTCTTATGTTCTTAGGCATATACATCCTTAGTACAAAGGCATTTCTCATCAACTCACCACGCTGGCGCCTCATATTTTCCCAATAGATTTATTAATCATCATTGATGATGATCTATAGCTTGCATATGGAGCACTCTATAATGCTGACTGGCTAATAGGCATTCTACTGTCCTTTGTGAGACATAAGATAGGTCATTTTTAGGAAGCTAAATTTGCCATTTGTTTAAGTGTAGAGCTCAAAAAAATTCGAGCAGGTTCTACAACTTTAAAGAAATAATCATTGCCTTTAAAACAAGGTAATCATCTTTCAACAAAATATCCCTTACCACTTGGTTAGTCAGTTTTTAAAATCCTATCATTGGCCGAAGGATTCAAGTTCCAACGAGAATTTGAACAGCAATGAATGGTTCGAACAGTCAGACTTTCTACTCACAAGCATAAATATTTCATAATCCTTAGCAGTTCCATTTCCCTTGTGGTTCTGGAATACACAATATCTGTCTGATTTTTAAAAGAGGAAAAAAATCTGTTCTAACAAAACCCTTAATGGAACTGACAAGGTAGTGAGTATGGAGACCAAAAGAAATACAACATTTACAAGTGAAAAAGTTAGTAACAGGTTTATAGACAATCAAAATAAAAGCATTTGAAAATATGGAATAAATCTTATCTATCAATATATACAATTAAATATCAGCTCTATACTACTTTTTTTTTACAATATCCTGAAAAATAAAAGTTCCAAGAAAATATCTGACTCACTGTGATACAAAAGTATCCATAAGTCAGAATATGATACAATTACCTAGGTAAGTAAACATTCATTTTGAAGATGAAATAATCATGGATTTTATTTTTAATACCAAATGTTATCCAATAATTAACAGCATGTTAATACAAAACACATAGACTTTTAATTCTAGTTTTAAATATAAAACTCTTAAGATATTCAGACATCGTGTCTTGAACCGTTTCTCTCAGGCTGCTGAGAATAAGAATATACCTTTTTTTACTTTCTTGAGTATTTTGGCACTCTCCTATTTTTAATAATTCTCTGTGCAGCTGCAATCGTTCCATTTCTATAATTCTCAAGAGATCATCACGTGACTGTAACTCACTTTTCACCTCTGAGAGTCCTGCTTCCATGGCCTACATAAAAACATCAAACAGGTCCAGGGCTCACATTTGGATATCATGATTACAATATATTTAAAAACATTTAACCTCTATGAACCAGCCTAATTCCAGATTAACTGGTGTCGAGTCCTTGGTTGGCTCTGTCTTACAGAATTTCATTCCTTCATTCATTTACTCAACAAATATTTGCTGAGTCCTCATTATGTGCTCAACGCTGAAGTTACAGACATAGACTCTGTTCTCAGCGGGCTTATAGTCTAGTGATAAGGAATAATCATTAATCACACAAATCCGGGCACACTGTATGTAAATCTGAGGGAATCATAAATGTATGTAAAAAATATTAGTTTAAAATTTGGATTAATGCCAATAATGCCCAACTTAAAGACAACAGCCAAGAAGAATCTAATTTCAAAGCTGGCCTGCACAGTGAGTTATAAACCGTGGTCTACCACTCCACTGTTGCCCAGTAATAGCCCTACTTTATCTGGCAACTAGAAACACCAGCAATCCTGTGAATCCAGTGTTTTATTCTGTTGATAAGAGGCTTGCGCAAGTTTAAAAAGCTGTTGGGAAGGGTCCAGGCAGGAGAGAGGAGGAGTAACAGTAATGGTGTTGGTTCCTGGGAAGGTAGGTGGAGTGGATCCCAAGGCCCAAGTGGAAGAATTGCCTAAAGCAAAAGGAAAGAAGGAAGGAAGATGGAATGTAGACAAGTATATGCAACTGGATATGGAGAGAGAAGACAGCAGCTCTCTGTTGGCTTCTATTTTCCTTGTGAAGTAAAAAGATGTCACTAGAAGGAGAAGGGGAGATGGGGGCAAGGGAATGATTTTTTTTAGAGATTTTATTTATTTGAGAGAGAGGGAGAGAGAGAGCGTGCATGGGGGCGGGGTTGGGGAAAGAGGGGCAGAGGAAGAAGCAGACTCCCTGCTGAGTGGGAGCCTGATGCAGGCTCGATCCCAGACCCTGGGATCATGACCCGAGCCGAAGGCAGAGCTTAACTGACTGAGTCACCCAGGTGTGCCCATGAGAGTGGTTTTTAAGAGTGGAGGAGGTCTGAAATGGCCTGCAGTGAAATGGGAGAATCAGCTGATTGGAGCAACAGAAGAGGATTCCTGGCAGTGTTGAGTACTCATTTGAGATTTGTGACCATGACCCAATAAGTGATTTTCTCCAGCAGTATTTGGCTCTTCTCTGGGAGAGAGGTTATGGCAGAGTCCTTTCAAATCATCGGGTTTCTTCTACTGACTTATGGCAGGGAAACTAATATTTATTAAGTGTACCTGACCCAGGTCATCAAATCCATTGCCACTTTTAGTAGATGAGGTAATTGAGGGCCAGACTTGGTCCAGAGTCACAGAGCTTACAAGTGGCAGATTTTAGAAAAGACAAATCCAGGTCTTTTGGAACATTCAAAATGCAAAAATAATTTGTTTCATGCAACATTAGTGAAACAGCCCTGTAGTTTATTGGCAAAGACAGGGTGGGGTGTTATGAGGGTAGGAGGTTTCTCTACTAATAAAGGCTGTAGGAAACACTACAGACATCTTTAAAAATCATTTGTTCAGTAACTCTGTATATATCAATAACAGATTTATATATAATCCACATACCATAATATTCACCCATTTATAGTATATAATTCGGTGGACTTAGTATGTTCGTGAAGTTGTGCAGGCATCACTACTAATTCCAGAACATTTTCATCACAACCAAAATAAACCCAATACCCATCAGTAGTCACTTCCCATTTTCCCTCCCTCTAGTCCCTGGCAACCACGAATGTACATTCTGTCTCTATGGAACTACCCATTCTGGACATAGTCTTTGCGACTGGCTTCTTTCACTCAGCATAATGCTTTCGAGGTTCATCCATGTTACAGCATGGATCAATATTTTATTCCTTTTTGGTGATGGATAATATTTAATTGTATGAATATACCACACTTTTGTTTATTAGTTCATCAGTTGCTGGACATTTGATGTTTCTTCTTTTTGGCCATTATGAATAACACTGCTCTAAAATTTCATGTACAAGCTTTGGGCATATGTTTTCTTATTCATTAATTCTTACCCCAAAATTCACAGAGCCTAGAAATATAATTATGCAGACAGTATAGGACATATGGGTTCCCAGAGAAACTTTTCTTTTTTTAACCAAAGCCTTAAATTTATACATTTTCCAGGAGACCTAGAGACCTGGATTTGGGGGAAGGACCTTGCTGTGATACTTTAGCCCCAGAAGTTCCTGGGCTGACTTGGAAATAAGAGGATAAATACATTCCAATAGGTGATTTAATAAACTTGTTTGGATGAAGGTGTGTTTGGATAAAGTCCCTGTTTCAAACAGTGGAGGTTTTTCAGATGAGCCTAAAATTTCAAAATAAACAAAAGAAATGTGAAACAATAGATTCGCAAGTAGAAAAACAAATTGACTTGATGTGAATGTCATCCATTACTTTGGCCAATTGAAGAAGGCGCCATGTGGGTTCTCTGCCTTGCAAATCTGCCCCCACTTGAAGCTGCATGTGGGCAACTAGGTCTTCCTTCACTCAGGGAAGGGGAGAGTAAGAAGGACCTAGCTTCGGGCCAATTTGAAATGCAGAGTCACCATGGACTAGGGTTAATTAAAATTCTGTAAAATGTGATAATAATAGTTTATTTCTTTACTGTCATTAGAAAAGAATACCTATAAGACTGATATTTGGAGATACCATGTCACTAAGGAAAAAAAAGCTTATTTGTGATCTAGCTACCCCGGTAAGAGAATTTATGTCAAAATTGAAACTTTTCATAATATAAATCAATAATAATGATTTGACACGTTTTTCTAACATGAATGAATATACAAAATATTTTAATTGACAGAATTATGTAAATTGACTATAAAAGTATGAGAAAAGAAGCTTTGTTGATATAGATAAATTGAGAGTTGTTTTTTGACTTATGCAATATCCCTTTGAATTCAATGTTAATAATACTGAGTTGACACAGAATTAGTGAATTTGTTTAACTTAGATGTAGCTTTAAAATTGGCAAGCTTTTGCATAAAAGCCAAATTAATTATTTGTCACTGTGGATGCAAATATTTAGGAAAGTGACTCTGTGGTACCTGATTCAGTGACTAAAACACTCTCAAGTTTGTTTGGAACAACTTAGGTACATAAATCTACCGTTTTTTAAAAACTCGACCCCCAACATGGGGCTCGAATTCACAACCTCAAGATCGAGAGTTGCATATGCTCTACCGACTGAGCCAACCAGGAGCCCCTGTAAATCTACTTTTTTTAAACTGTAAATTTTATGACATCTAAACACAGGTCAAGTATTTCCAGTGACTACTTGGCTTCCAAATTGGGAGATATGTGGTTAAGTGTAAATACACACCAGATTTTGAGGACTTAGTATGAAAAGAAATGGAAAATATCTCATTATTTCATTAATAACTTTTTATATTGATTGTATGTTGAAATGATAACACTTTAGATATGTGATGGATTGAGTAAAATATATTACTATTATGTATTAATTTCACCCATGTCTTCTGACTTCTTTTGATGTGGTTACTAGAAAAATTTAAATTGTATCTATAGCTTGCATTATATTTCACTGCACAGTGTGGCTCTAGTACCTTACTGACCCATTAACAAGCAAACAAAAAGGTCAATTTTGGGGGGCAGAGGTATTAGAAAAATGCAGAACAATTTCTTTTTGTCATTAACCTCCAATGGGAAATGCTGCACATTTAAAACATGTGAGTATAGGACAGCACAGTAAATAAATATGTGCGATGCAATTAATACGTATACTGACACATTTCAGAGTTGTGGAAAGACAAGTGAGATGTGATTCATGTGAAAATCCAGATGCATCTGGCATTCAAGTGTGTTGTAAACTAAAGAGAATTTTATATACAACAAGTGACAGTAATTCAAACTGAAACGGTTGTCTTTTTAAATTCATGTGCAAGATGTGGAGCACTGTCACATGACAGGTTTTTGCAAAAAGAGAAGAGAAACTTCTTTCTAAATATATGTACTGGCTAAGTGATTATTTACCTCCAATGATTCCCATTTGGTAAAATATAAATTTTGTACAACAAGTTTAAGGCCCATCTGTTTAGTTAGAAATTCACCTGTAAACCTTCAAATCAGCTACCAAATAGTAAATAATTGATATCTTCTTATTCCGCATTTGCTTTAAAGCAAGAGAATGAAACATAGCTCACATTTGGAAATAAAACAGGGAAAAGGCCAAATGAAAGCATTATTTTCAGCATTTGTCTTCTACACGCATCAAAAACAAGCAGTGTTTCCTTGGGCATAGAAATCTTATCTGTTAGCTACCTTGAAGTTTCTGAACCAAAGTACTTCTTAAAGATCTTTTCATTAAAGCTTTAACGTATTTTTATGTGTCAAGCATACTCCAGAATAATTTGGTTTGTTTTTTAATACATGTGATTCTTTTGTAAAATATAAAATGGAGATTCTTAGTTTAAATTTAATAATGTTTCTAGATCCAAGAATAACTACATGATTTTTGTTTGGTGAATACAAATCTGTAAAAATAACTTTGGCAAATATTCTCATAGAAATTGCTATATAAATAAAAATAACGGTCATATTAAGATGTATCATTAACTATGAAAAACATCATAAAACAGAGTAGAAAACTGGTGAAGAATATGAGTAAAATAATATTTCAAAACTTAAAGCAAGGTTTCTCAACCTCAGCACTATCTATACTTTGGTCTGGATAATTCTTTGTTGTGGGGGTTGTCTTGTGCATTTTAGGATGTGTAATAGTATGTCTGGCCTCTACGCACTAGATGTCAATCACATCCCTTTCCCCTGTTGTGACAACCACAAATATACCCAAGCATCGCCAGGTGTCACTTGGGGAGCAAAGTCACTCCACTAGAGAATTACTGATTTAAAGGAAAGTCATAACGATTAGGGGCAACTAATACTGTTATTTTATAAACTTTGGTATAAATAACAATAGGAATATTTCACAACTGATTGACTTCTATGAGGAGCTGGGTTTTTATTTTGTTAGTATATATTCAGGAATATTAATAAATTATTATGTATGTTGATATACGTATATATCAGGAAAAGTCAAAGTGGATAACATGGACTTTCCTTAGCCCAAACGAGCTAAGGAGTCTTCTCAGGAGTGCGTGCATGTAAGCCCTTACATGGGCGGGAGGATGAGTCATATCCTGTTGGACCTGGGTCAGGAGGGCAAATCAATTAAATGATATTGCTAAAGGACAGGGAAGCCTTGGCCTTCCAGTAGTCTGAGGCCTCTAACCTCCTGCTACACGTTCAGACTCTTTGGTTGCACTTTCTCTCTTCTTATCAATAGGTGTGCCAGTGTGAGAAGTATTCGTTTAAGGCATTCACTTGGAGAGAGGGAAGAGATTATGAACGGGGAATGTTAATTTATTAATGTTTCTCAATGTACACTCTTCCTCTATTGCAACACTCTTTCTTTTAACCAGATTCTCCAACTTCCTTCCTGGAAAAATATAAAAGATAAAGTTCTGAGAAGCAGAAAGATGGGGCTGGTCAAGGAAAGCATGACAGAGAAAGTCAGTCATGCTGCCAAGAGAGGGAAACAGAGGCTCTTTCTAGAATACAGGATAAGAGTAGCCACTTCTGTTTTACAAGTGAGCCAAAGAACCAAAAGCTGAACCTCAGCCTATAAATGAGGATGTTCTTGGATGCTGTAATAGGTCCAAACAAAATTCTTTTGGCGAGATTAAGAGGAACTGATGTTAGTGAAGAAGCTGAGCCTCACCGAAGCATACAAGCAGACTTCATAACTGGGCTCACTCATGAAATACGTTTAGGGCAAACTAAAGAGAACAGAACAGAAAATAGATTTCTGGGGACCAGAACCAAAAAGACCTTGAAAAGGGACAAAGAGGACCGACTCCTCAGTCTGTGCTGGATGACCTAAAGCCCAGGGGAGAAAATGTGGGAAAGACCCACAAATACACTCTACTTGCTTATTGATCGTGATTCTGGTGCAGACTCTAGCAGTACAAAGACAGCAGCAGAATGTCTTGAAATAAACGCCAGAGGCATGACCAGTTGTCCCAGGCCCAGGGAGATGGAAAAGGAAGCCCCTGAGAGAAAAATCTCCTGAGAAGCAAGCCCCTCAGAAGCAAGCCCCTGCAAGCCCCTCAGAAGGGACCAGGTAGACTGACGGGCAAACTGAACACACGGAAGCCACCTGACAGCCTCTCGAGTAGAAGAGTAAGGGCTAGTCTTACTTACGTTATAGCAAAGCTGGAGAAAACACCATCAGTATCTCCCCTATTTCTAGACAATTTGTGGCTTGTTCAGCGCTTAGGATTTGTGGTTTAGCTTGCTTTGTTTGTTTACATCTATATTCTGATTTGTATTAGAATAACACCCCCCTCCCCACATGAAGTTGGATCTGGGGATGGAGGAGTGTCCCTCTCTTAGAAACGCCATGGAAGCGGAGAAGCTGGGAGCCTTGTGTTCGGCCCCCTACAGACATGGAGAAAGAGGAACATGGAGGAGTAGATGTTGGCAGAGAAAGAAATAAAAGAACTAGTTCCATACATAGTGCTGCAGGATGGGAGGACGAGGAATTGGCGGAAGACGAAAAAATGACCCTGGGAGTTTAAGTGGTAGAAGATCCTGAGGAATACCTTAGAGAAGTGGAAGTCTGCTCAGATAGAGGCCTCCGAAGTATATCTCAGCATGAGGAAGGGACAGAGTGGGACTGAGAATGGGCCAGCTGACATGTTTGAGTTGGTAGAAAAAGGCTGAATGCTTGTAGGTGGGAGATAAGACTAAAACGGGGGATAAAACTATAGAATGTGTCAACTAACTGGGATATCCATGAATAAGAAATATATATTTAGTAAAGAAATTGGTAATGACCAATTTTGATGTATGCTGTATTACTTTCCTGTGATGCAGAAGTAAACAAGAAAGAGTGAGAAAGAGAAAAGAAAGAAAGAAAGAAAAGAGAAAGAAAGAAAGAAAGAAAGAAAGAAAGAAAGAAAGAAAGAAAGA